TTAAAACAAATAAAAATAAAACATTGTCACTTTAAATATCAAAAATTAGTCAACAAAAGAAAAAAATTAATCACAAAACTATTCACCAAGTCCTGCATCTCCTTCTGGAGCCGAGCCATGGCTCTCTTAGAGCCCACAGCAAAGACGAAAGTGTCCATGTCTTCGTCGTTAAGCGTCACTTTGACTTGCTGCAGAGAAAAACCCAGACAGCGCGGCTCAAGCTCTGCTCAGAGGAAGCGAAAACGTTTCTACATCTGCTGCAGCAGAAACGCTTACCACTTGGTCAGAGGCGGGCCTCATCATCCTGGTCACCGTGTTCAGGAGGTCCTGCCTCTTCAGGAACTAAGACAACCAGCAGCAGGTTCAGAAAACACCAACAGGGGAGGATTTAAATGGCTGGAAGCAAATACCTTCAGCTGAATCAGCATTCCTTCACAGCACACACGGCCAGAGCACCACAGATTGTAGATGTGTTCGTTTTCCTGGTTCAGCTTCCCAGTGCTCACAGGTTCTTTACTGGTTCCATCATCGCCTAGAGCACAGATCAATGCCAAGAAAACACTAAATTTATCAAACGGGGGACACATTTTATGTGCCTGACCAACAGAAAAACAGCACCTAACTGTGAAAATTACATTTTCCAATTTTGCAACAGATTCTATTGGATTCAATCTGTCAAATTCAATTTCACCAAGACTTTGACTGGGCCATTCTACTGCATCAATATGATTTGGCCGAAATGATCACACTGAAGTTAGGTGGTTAATTTGTTATCAAGGAGAATAGGGAACATACTTTCCACATGTACACATACTTTTGCTGTGTGAATTACAGCAAAACAGATTTATTTTAACTTTCTTTAAAAAAGATTTCTTGCCACTCTTCAATATAGAAAAGGTTTGTAAACGTGCCAATCTAACTATTGTGAACTGAGGATTTCTTCCAAACGAAGTAAAATAAATATTTTAAAAATGAGCATCAACAGATTTTAGGGCTGAAACAATTAATCGGATTAATTGTGATTAATCAATTACTAAAATTATGGTAAACTAATTTGGTAATTGACTAATTGTTAACTTGAACATACAGACACATCCAGAGCAGTAATTAAATTACATCTGAACAAAATATTAATACATGTTGCATTTAAAAAAAAAAGCTAAAAAAATAAGACTAGAAAATATTTAAAGTAGTTTTTCAAAATAAGTGTCACAGAATACCATTATGAAATGAAAAAAATAATAAAAAATGAAAACAAGTCTTGAAATAAAAAACAAACAAGGCAATAATGTATCTTTTAAGTATTTATTTTATTTAATGTAATATTTATTAGTTTTTAAAAACAATATTTATCTAGTATAAAAGAAATCAGAAGAATGCGCCAATTTTTCATTCAATTAATTGTCAAAATAATCAATAGATTAATCAATACCTAAAATAATTGTTAGTTACCGTCCTTGTAAATTTGGAAAACTCATGTATAATTTTCCTTGCCCATCAGAGCTATGCACTCTTTTCTACTACATAAAATAAATATATTGTTTGTTAGTAAGACAAACAATATATGGACTATTTTAATAGGGAGGAATACATTGGCAATAGATCCTGCAGGGAGTTCAATGATTCAAAGAAAAGACGGACAGACTCACCCACAAGTGCAAAGTTGCTCTCCAGAAGTTCCCTGTGGGAGTTAAACCAGGCCTGAGCGAGCCGGCTGTTCTTGTTCTTCCCTATGATGTAGTTCATGATGTAGCAAAGTAAACCCGTCACCATCAGGATCTCCATGTAGTAACTCTCCCAGCTGTTCTGCAGGTGTGCAGGAACCTGCAGAGACATGGCATGCAGACGGATAAATCACACTGCAGATCAACATCTGACTGTCAGAAATGTATCTAAAACACGTCCCAAGATTAATTAAACTAAAATGTAAGCTATTGGTATCATAAACTACAGCTGAATTAAGTCCCACATGCTTTAAACTTGTTTTACCGTGTGGATTATGAGCGGGTCCTTCATGGAGTGCCCCGTCTTCTCCATCCCCTCAAACTCCTCCTGGTCGTATTTGCTGTACATATCTTGGTCCTTGGAAGAAATTGCAATCAATTATGGTATCAACGATAGAAATACCCTTTAAATAAATGTTAAGATAATGTACTTGTGTGTCTGAGTCCTCGAAACCATCCTGACCATCCTCCAGCTCCACGGTGGCTTCATCTTCGTCATCTTCAGTCTGTGAGGAAGGTGATGAGACACGTGGTGGTGGGGCCGTCTCCGCCTCGGCTGTTAGATCATCATTCATGTCCTCAAACTCTGCGAAGTCATTGTCGTCAAAGTCTGCCAGGTCCTCCCCATCATCAAACTCGTCGTTGTAACGTCCTCTGGTGGCAGGAAGGGCCAGGAGGAGCAGCAGTGTGGAAACCAGGAGGAAAAATGCACTTCGCATGCTGCAGTCTGAATTAAATATGGGTAAAAACACAAAATAAAGTTTCAGAAAACGTTGCAGAAAATTACACACTCATTCCAAAACAAAAGCTTTTACCCATCAGAGAATGAAAAACTACTACTTTGGTTTTAAAAACAAAACATCATTTACAAAAGAATCATCCGTTTCCTGCAATGCTTTAATTTGAAGTGGAAAAAGTTACAAAAGTTTGCTGCTGCTGGGGAAACAGACCAATCATTACAACATCACGTTCAAGGGTTTATTTTCCCCATACGCAACTGTTTTATTTCAAAATATTGGCAGGATATGAGTGAGTTCAAATTAAACCCAAAAGGAAAAGGAAGACATGTACCAGAGAAAAAGAAACATTTAGAGATGAGATATCAAAAGAAAGTCTGAATAAAGCTGTAGAAAAAAAAGATTTTCTCACAATATGAAAGATTTGAAGAAACTGTGTGAGAGAGAGTGAATAAATATTACTTTGTGAACGCCAATCAAATAATAAAGAATGCTAGTTCTATAAATATGTAGAACTATGAAACCGGAATATAGCGGCTGATTGCGCTCTCTAAAGAATCAAAACCAAACATGGAGAAGCAGGATTCCGTTTTATGCTCCATTAATCTGAAACAAACTTCCAGAAAGTGTCAAAAATACTAAAACACTTAATTCCTTTAAAATGAAGACTGAAACCTAATTTGCTTAGATTTGCCTTTGATGAATAACAACTAAAACATAATGAATTTAGTTTATATTTATATTGTTTTCCTTTATCAAACCGATCTAATGTAATGCTATTCTGTTACTTTATGCTCTCATAATGTAGACAATTGATTTGTTGCTGAAATAAGCCGAATACTTTTACTCGATTAATTGACGAAGGTCTACATAACAAACCTTCAAGTGGAAAAAATGCCTGATAACTGAAGCTCAGTCGACAATAAGGAAGGAAAACCGCTACTATGCTTTGTCACCACACTGATTTTTTTCATAAATTTAACTTTTAAATTAAGGCGAATAAACAAAAAGTGCATATTTAACCGTTTAAGAGCCGATTTATTCGAACAAACTTCCAGTTAGTGTAACAGTTTGTGGCTAAACCTGAACTAGTGCTGCTGCATTTAGCGTGTTTACAAGCTTGATTACGAGCTAGAGCGATTAGCTGTCAAATTTTTTTGAAATCGTAGCGGAGTGCAACTGGTTTATGACGTGGATTAAAACCCCGGAGACCCAGTGAACCAAACCCATCCCCCCAACTCACACTCACTAATTCTCACTCGCTGTTAGCACCTTTACCATTAGCATGCTAACAGGGGCTAACTCACTCAAACAACCGAAGACCCGAGAGGAAATCTGTGCTTTTCTCCTTAACTCGGCAGGGAAAAACAACCTTGTTAAGACTAAATGTGTGAACAAGTATCTCACCTGGTTTCTAACAGTGTCAATAAACGTAAAGCTGGTTATGAATAAGAAATTAGAACTGTCCTTGACGTGACGTTAAACCTAAAGCGGGGTACTTCCTGTCCACGCAGGAAAAACCCTTTCAAAATAAAAAATTTCTAACCCGTTATGGATTAGTGATGCTAACATACGGGTGTGCTAAACTTTAAATGATGTGAAGCAATGGAAATGTTAGTATTTATCAGTAAGACTCGAAAAATTAGAGTTGTAAAAATTTAAAATCTTTGTGCATCTTTGACTTGCAGGATTACTTTACACTACAAAGTAGTTTATATGTAATAATGCATATATATATTTTTGTGAAACAAAACACTTTGAGGACAGTGGAGATAATGGATCTTTCACTATTTAGCTGTATTTGTAACACTTGAATACCAATAGTAAGATTATGTTTTGTTATATTTTAAATAAGGTAGCAGTGATGAAAAAGCAATGATTGTTCAAAAACATATTTTAACTCAATTTCAAAGTGTCGTTTGGGGAATAGTAGCATCAATTAAAAATTTAATGCTTTAGTTATTTCCATGTAAACCATTTTCTAAATCAATGTAGTTTTTGATTTATGCTTCTAACTTAAAAAAGTGACATCTAAAGCTCCTTTGTGGCAACCAGAAATTTCCAATACACATTTTAAAACTGATCTGATTACAGTACAAACGATAATTTGTGATGTAATTAACAATATTTTACAGAATTATAGAAAAAGAACACATTTTAAACAAATCATGCTTCCTCTCATTGTCCACACCCGCATATCGTTATAAATAAAACTCCTAAATAAGGTAATGCTGTCAGGAACAGTAAACAGTCGCCCTCTGGTGGCGACTGTTTACTAAGCAACTACAACTGTTTGTGAAGTTGGACTAAACAACGTACACTTCCGGTACAAACCTTCAAGACTTAAAAAAAATACGTAAATAAAGTAATTAATAAAAAAAGTAGATACTTTTCAAAAAATGATAAGGGAGCAACGTAACTGCCATGATAATGACTTCTTTTATTAACACAATAACATGTTCTAAGAAAAGTAATGTCGAGTTTAAACGCATTATTGGTGATTTTATTTCGAAAATAATCACCGGAAGTTGATCGCGTTCCTCCAAACTTGACGATTTGATGGCCCCAACGAAAAATGCTACCCTTTGTTAGCAGAAGTGGTGAAAAATCGCGTCTTCATTGAGGTTATCTTCATCGATCAGTCGTTTTGGATCGACATCCTTGTATTTATTCTCCCGAGTGAAACTAATTAGTTGTGTTTTATTCAAAGATTAACTTCTCCGACAGTTAGTTAGCAGGTTAGCTGCCCAGACAAGAGCCGCAGCTCGGGAGAGGATGTCTCTTCACGGGAAAAGAAAAGAAATCTACAAATACGAGGCGCCATGGACGGTGTATGCTATGAACTGGAGCGTCCGCCCGGACAAACGTTTTCGGCTGGCTCTGGGGAGCTTTGTGGAGGAATACAACAACAAGGTGCGCAGCATGTTTTCATTAGCAGCTAGCTTCAGATTAATGCTAACCTCCCTGCGCACCGCGGCTCAAAACATCACCTCTGATTGCGCTATTGTCTTCAATAACATACTTATAGGTTATGTTTTGTCCAGTTGTCGTGTTCTTTAGGGGTTTTGCAGTCTTTACCAGCTTGTCTGTGTTTATTTCAGGTTCAGCTGGTTGGTTTGGAGGAAGAGAGCTCAGAGTTTGTCTGCAGGAACACTTTTGATCATCCTTACCCCACGACCAAGATCATGTGGATCCCAGACACCAAAGGAGTTTACCCAGACCTGCTGGCCACCAGCGGGGACTACCTGCGCATCTGGAGGGTGAGATGAACCATTACAAAGGCCCTACAAGTCAGAGGAGATTTCCCAGCAATGAATGCCTTTGGAGAAATGTTTTACTACCTGCATCCTTCAGTCAGAGCCCTCAAATTCAAATGTACTTTAATTTCACAAAAGAAAATTACATCAAAGGAGGAGAAAATTTTGTCAAGAAACGTCAGAAATTTTGAGTTTGAGCTCAGAAATTTTCAAGAAAATAACTTGGAAATTTCTTAGTTTGAAAAGTTAAAAATTCTCCAATAAGTAATTCCAGATATACATTTTTGCGAAAAAAACAAACAAGTTTGGAAAGTCAAAAATGTGCTAGAGAAAACGTGTATAATTTGAGGTTAAGTTCAGAAATTTTCTAGGGAAAACCGTGGCAATCTCTGACATTCAAAAGTCAAACATTTGCTGGAAAAAATGTGAGAAACTTTTAGATTAATCTCAGAAATCTTCTAGAAAGTAACTTGGACATTTCTGAGTTCAAAAAAATCAAAATTGCTACAAAAAAATTAAATATTGACATTTATCTCATACATTTCTGAGAAAAGACGAGGACATTTCTGAGCTTGAAAAGTCAAAAAGTATAATAGAGAAAAATTGCAAATTTCTAGGTCAATTTCTAAAATTTTCAAGAAAAAATGTGGAAATTGAGTTTGAAAAGTAAAAAACACTCAGAAATTTTGAGCAATTTCTGTCTGGTCAGTTGTGACAAAAGTCTGTTCACCCTGATTTAAATCGTACTTTATTGTGCTGCAGGTCAGTGACACAGAAACGCGTCTCGAATGTCTGCTGAACAACAACAAGAACTCCGACTTCTGCGCTCCGCTCACCTCCTTTGACTGGAACGAAGTCGATCCCAATCTGCTGGGTAGGAAATAAAATAAAGAAAACTCCTGTAGTTTTCATCTTGTCTTCTTTTTGCTTCAAATGATTTGTTTTGTGTGTTTCAGGAACATCCAGCATCGACACCACCTGCACCATCTGGGGGTTGGAGACCGGTCAGGTGTTGGGACGAGTCAACCTGGTTTCTGGACACGTGAAGACTCAGCTGATCGCTCACGACAAAGAGGTCTGGATTTTATTCTGTAATATGACCCCAATTTAGTTTTTTGTTGATTTTTAAAGTTGTTTTTATCAATAGGCTTCAGGTTCATTTTTTAGTTATTTTTATTCTATTTTCCAAGGCAATAGAGATTTATTTAGACTCTAATGACGTAGAGCTTCAAGGTGTAATTTGTGTTTCAACAAAATAATATGGATAATGGAGGCCATTTTTTCATGTAGGGCTGATTCATCAATTATTTAAATGATCGTCAACTAACTTAGTAACTGATTAATAAATGTGAAAAAAATAAAAACACAATTTTCTGTCCCAAAATGTAATATATTAAAATCAAGCTAAGTTACAGCGAACATTGAAACTTATTGTTAGAATCATGATTTAAAGTCAGAGCAGAAATTTCTGTTGAGGAACGCTGCGGTGTGTTTTCAGGTTTACGACATCGCGTTCAGCCGCGCCGGCGGAGGGAGAGACATGTTCGCCTCGGTGGGCGCCGACGGATCCGTCCGCATGTTTGACCTCCGACATCTAGAGCACAGCACCATCATCTACGAAGACCCCCAACACCACCCGCTGCTCCGCCTCTGCTGGAACAAACAGGACCCCAACTACCTGGCCACCATGGCCATGGACGGCATGGAGGTCGGGTTGCATTTTTATCATTAATGTCACTGCATGTAAATCGCTTTTCTATGGAGTTAAAGACAGAATTATTACTTGATTTTTAGGTAACTGCATTGCTGCTATTGTTCCAAGACAACAGGGATTTATTGAGACTCTTTCTAATTCAAACACAATTAATGCTTTTTGAAAAGCATAAAAAAGTGTGATTTGTTTTGCTAACCTGCATATTGCAACTTTTGTTTTCAAATTCATTGCTATGTATTGAACAAATAGTGGAGACTGACAGTAAGGACAGTTTCAGTCAATAATTGCAATTTATTGTGACAACCATAAATAAAAATTCTTCTTCATCACAATAAAAGCTATTAGTTTCTAGTACAAATATTTTAATACACTTTAAAAAAGACAAAACTAACTTTTCAGTTAGATAAAGCAGCTTGTTTTAACAATTCTTTGATATTGATGAAAACGTTCTAGTTTTATTATTCTTTATTTTTCCATGTACAAAAAGTCCAGCTCTTCCTGCTTGATGTAACATCAGTGCAGTGCAGGTCTAATTTTTGGAAAGCCAGCGATACTTTATAAGTATTTTTTAAAGAAACTTGAAGTTAAAACCATTTTACTTATGGAGTTTCGGGTAGAACATATTTACAAAGGGTTTTTTAAAGTCCTAAATTCAAAATGTTTATATTTTTTTAGACAGCTTTGCCATAATTATGGCTCTGGGAATAATGCTTTTAGGGCCTGTTTACTCCAGCTAGTCTATTACTAAATTAGTTGACAAATATTTAGTGATCATTTCAGCCGATGTAGTCGTACAAGAACATTTTTGTTGATTCCTGTTAGACCTTGGTGAGAAGCTGCAGTAAATAAAAAGCTTTTGTTCTCCAGGTTGTGATCCTGGACGTTCGCGTGCCGTGTACTCCTGTGGCTCGGCTCAACAACCACCGCGCCTGCGTCAACGGCATCGCCTGGGCGCCACACTCCTCGTGTCACATCTGCACTGCAGGTGAGTTTGGACGTTAAATGTTGTCGGGTGAATATCAGAGGTGACCTACGACACAAAATTCACATTTTGCATGGTTTTTGTACTCCCACCTGGGTCAACGCTTCTTCTAACTACAAGCCAAGTAATTAAAAAAGCTAAAGGGGGAAGTACTTTTTTACAGCACAAAGTCTGAATAGTCCATTGTTCAAGTGGATCTATTGTGCATAGTTCAAGTTTTGCACATTTTTATGCTTCCATTTGGGTTTCCACTGCTACTAAAAACAACCCACCTAGCCGTCGTTTGAAAAACTCTGAACGTAGCGTCATAAATCAGCAGGCACTGCCTGTTACCTGGCAACCCGAGTGAAGTCCCATCCGTTGTGTAGCAACCCAGACCGTGCTCTACCATGTTTGGTCAGTTCTATGTGCTTCATAATGGCTGCTGGAAAAGACATGTTTTGTTGCTAACTTACCATCCAGAAACCACTGGCTGAATTTTGTTATTTGTGTAGGAGGCTCCACTTCTGCTTTTCAAAGATGTACGGTTATATCATTGTGCATCTGTTTGCAGCCATTTTCAAGCGAGTGTAAATATTGAACTCGGCCAGAAGAGACAAGATGCCCTAAAAACAACTCATTCTGACTTGTGCAAACTAAAATCTCACTATCCAAGAAGGATTTTTCGCAAAATATGTTCTGAATATCCCATGAAAACAATCCCAACCTTTAAAATGAAGCATGACAGATCACATTTAATTTAAATATCCTGATGTTTTTCCTTTTTGTCAGCCGACGACCATCAGGCTCTGATCTGGGACATCCAGCAGATGCCGCGCGCCATTGAAGACCCCATCCTGGCCTACACCGCCGAAGGCGAGATCAACAACGTTCAGTGGGCGTCCACGCAGCCGGACTGGATCGCCATCTGCTACAACAACTGCCTGGAGATCCTGCGCGTCTAAAGCCGTAGAAAAAGAGCGCCCTGCGTTTCACATTTGGACTTTTCAGTAGCCCTCGTCCTCCAGCTTTCAGGACGAGGAGTGAACTTTCTCTGAAGTTGGTTTACATTTATCTGCTCTTCTAATAAACATGTGTAAGCTCTTATTTATTTTTGCTCAGCAGCTGTAGGAAGTGTCCATGTTTCCTTGAGAGTTTTTTAAATACTTCTCAGCCAGCTGTGAGACTATTTGGAGCAGTTTAGATCTCATGCATTTCATCTGGTTTTTTTTTGGTTTGAGGTTGATTCAAACTGCTGTAGGTGGCAGAACATTGCAAAAACATGACATTACCAAGTATTTTTTTATCTATTTTTTTGTGCAAATATCCTGGTACACTTTAAAAAAGGCAAAACTAACTTTTCAGAAAGACGAGCATGTTTTAAGTCAACAATTCAATAGTTCAAGTGACAGATTCTTTCTTTTGTAATATGGAAAAATATTACACAATTAAACTAGTACTTTTTTAAAATCAATATTAACAAATTATTGACTTAAAATAAATTCCTATCTTGTAAATTTAGTTATAATTAATATATTTCCACAAAAAGCTACAACAAAAATCCTTGGTAAGATGTTTTTGCAGTGTAAACATGTAGGATTAACTCGTAGCCTTCTTGTGGATGCATACCATGTAATTGGTGAATAAAGCATCTGTACGATATATACTAGTCTTGTTTACCTAATGTGGGAGTTTAAGATGTTCCTCTGTGCTGCAGCCGACATTTAAAGTCTATCAGAGCAACGACGGCTCCCTAAATATCCTCTTCTGATTTGTTGAGCGTTCATTCTTTGAGTCGTTGCATTTTTACTTCAGTTAGAGTGAAGTTTGAAATGAGTTGACAGCTTTCTGCTTCTCTTATTTTGTCGTCTTCTGTCCTTGTAGCATGCCATTGCAAGACAAAATGTACATAAATATAAATATATCAAACTTAAGATGTTGGTAAGCCAAGTGTTCATGTTGTAGTGTTTTTTCATAAAGTTTAATATTGAATTTGCTCTAATAAATTGTAACCTCCCCATGATTTAAGAACCACTATTAGTTTTCTTTACCTTTTTATGTATCTATTAAATTATATCAAAAGCAAATTAAATTTTGTTGTGGAAGGACGATTTAACCTCATATTTTTATGCCAGGTGTGATCAAAGTGTGGCTCTTAAACTGTTTTTCCCCCAATTTATTAAAATGTGCATTTTTAATCAGTATGATTCATAAAAATATCTAAATTTTTATGAGTAGAACCAGGTTGATCCAGTATTTTTCTGCAAAGATGACTTTGCTTTATTCAAATGAGCTCGTTTGTAATTTATTAAACGTGGCAAAATCAGTTTGGGTTGATTTGTCGATCGTGACCCAAATCCTGTTCTTATAACTGGGGATAAATTATTTCATCAAAGACCAAAAATATTTTAAAACTTACATGGAAGCCCCTTTCTGCCACTCTGTGAAAAAAATTATCTCATTATAATGAGATACTATCTTGTTATTTTGAGATAATTTATTATCTAACTTTTAAATATTGAATTTAACATATTTGAAATTCAATATTTAAAATTTTCAGTTCAAACTGACCTAATTTTTAAGCTTCAAATTAGTTAAATTTGATGCTAAATTTCAAATTAAGGTTTGAATTTTCAAGCTAATCAAAATTCAATTATTAAATTTGAAAGCTAAATAAATATTTACCCAGTGAATTAAATATTTAGTTTGGAAATCTTACCTTTATAAACTTGTGACAGCCAAATTAAATAAAATCATTGCTATTTTTTTACTTAAAAAGTAAAAAAAATAAATTCACCGAAAACAGTGAATTTAAAAAGTCCAATTACTTTTTTGTCAAACTCGCATTTGGTAGTTTTTACTTTTAGTACATTTTTGACTTTTTCCACTAAAAATTTCTAGAAAATAAGAACACTGATCAGTTCTATGTTCTCATTTTTTCTATCTTCAAAATAATCCAAAATAAAATGTTAATATATCAAAAATAAAGTTTAAATGTTACCAGAGTAAAAGAGCATTATTATTTTTGTAATACGACTTTATTCTTGTAATATTACCTTGTTATTTTGACTTTATTAACTTTTTTTAGAGTGACCTTAAAACTCGAATATTCCAGATAAAACCTTTATAGAAAACGTCTGACTATATTCACAGCCATGTTTTCACATAAATGACTTTTCTGATTCATGTCATGAACAAACGTGAGGTTTAAGTTAAAATCTTCATTGTTTACAGTGTCAGACAGTTAATTTATTTAACAGACAACAGTAACACTGACCTCATAATTACTAGATACAGAGTTCTTTATGCAAACAGCAGCTAGAACAGTATAAAAATACATTTTATCTTTATTGAGCCTAAATGTGCGATTCTCATACAAAGTGAATGCAGATATTTCTCAAACGTGTTTTTTTCGTTTCTCTCCTTCCACTGTGGAAACCTGAGTCTGGGACGCCGTTTGTGTGTTTTTCCTCGATTTCCAGCAGCGTCCGACCAGGAGAGGAGGATCATTTATTTCAATATTTGGTGAGATGGAGATCCATCTGGGCAAAATATGGCTTTACAGCGGGTTGGTCTATGTTCCTGGCAGGACCGGGTCAGAGACGTGTCTCTGGATCTCCTGCATCTCTGTGGAGGTCTCCAGGTGTTCGGGGAGCGAGGGGAAGCGCTGGCTGCCGCCCAGGAGCCCGGGAGCTTCCTGGACGTTGGGGGACAGGAAGTGAGGACAGGTGAGGTCAACAGAGGGCAGCCGCGGCGGGTCGGCCTCTGGTGACATGGTGTCGTCTGACGCCACGGTGAGATGGACGCCGCTGGAGAGGGAGTCTCTAGATTTGTGCTTACAGTCAGAATCTGGACTCTGGAAATGCAAAAACACTCAGATGTAGATAAAATGTTTAAATGCTGCAGCTTTAATAGATTTACTTTTTTTTTTTTTTTGCTACACATTGTATGAAACTGCAAAAAATATTCACTTTTACAACCACTAGCTTCAATTCATTTTACTAGGATTTAATGCAGAAGAGATACACAAATGAAATTGGAGAGAAAATTACACTTCATTTAATATTCACTGCAAAGTTTTAAGTATTTTTGTTCTAGTTTCTAGTGCCAATATCTTAGTAAAAGTGAGTTGAAGATGAAACTAACTTAAAAGTAATTTTTGAGCAAGAAGTAGCTTGTTTTAAGTCAATAATTCCTCAATACTGATTAAAAAACTACCAGGTCCACTGCCAGATTGTTTCATTTATAACATGGGAAAAATGTTTTATGAGTGGAATAATCTCCAAGTTGAATTAGCACTGTTTAAAAATTAATATTAAGGAATTATTGGCTCAAGAAAGCTGTTACATCTTGCAGAAAAGCTACTTGTAAGTTAGTTTTGTCTCATTAAAATGTGAAACAAAAACAAAAATACTTGATAAGATTTTGTGTTTTCCAGTGTTTCACAAATAAAAATTAAAAATGCAGCAAAAAGGAAACAGCAGGAAATCCCAGCCATAGTTTGTCACATTTGGGTCAAAAGGCAAAGGTGTGGAAACTCTTGATACATAAACTTCAAAATGCAACACAGGTAGAAAACTAAAATGGACTTCAGGGTGGCAGCATCATGCTGTCTTCTGTCCCACCTGACGAGGACACCTGTCTTAAGGAGACCTGTTTACATTGTAAACATAATTTATACTAAAAAACAAAACTTGGAGGAATAAAAATGCAGTTCTGATACCTGCAGCAAGGAGGCGCTGCCGTCTATCTGTCCCGGCTGGATTGGGGGTCCCGAGCCGTAGAGGGTTGTGGGGTGAGGCAGGTGGGAGCCGGGCGACACGGCGCTGTAGGCGGGAGGCACCGGGGTCATCTGCCTCTGGAGGAGCTGCAGGATCACGTTGATATCTGCAGTCATACGGGTCTCCAGCCTGGAAAAGGTTAAAGGTTAAAGGGAAAAGATCACATCACAAATTCAAGCAAACAAAATATGATTTAAGAATGACGGTAAAATATTTTAAGTGTGCACAGAAGCAAAATAATTTACATTGTCTATCTTGACGCTTTGAGAATAAAAAACACATATTTCAAAATGACAGCCATTTTTCAAGATGGCCTCCGTTTTAGAGCCTTTTAAACCAATTATTGCATAATATTTTGGCTTGGATAAATGTTTTGTCCTATTATAAGTTTTTGACTTTTCTCTTCTTATTTATACAACTTTAAAAGAAACATGAACAAAAATCAAATATCAAAACAAACTGAGAACTTTGCAGCAGTTGTCAATAAGAAAATCAATACGTGTGATAAAGACTGAGAAATCCAAATGGTTAGCATTAGCAACTGCTAACTTTTTTTAAAACGTAGTTTAGCATTAGCTTCCAATTTTTTTTTATTATGCTTAGTAACTTAGCCTCAGCTTCTGCAGTTTTTAAAAATGCTTTTAGGATTAGTTTCCGCCATTTTTTCTGCACTGAGCTTCTCCCAATTTTTTGTGTGCAATGGGTTGGAGTTAACAGAACGATTTAGCATCAGCTTCTGCTAATATTTTTATGTGTTTAGCAGTTTGACATTGGCTTATGCTAATTTTTTGTATGCGTCAAGTGGTTTCAGTGTTAGCAGTTAAGATTCTTATTTAGTGAATCAGTGGTTAGTGAACCTAAAGTTTAAGTGCAAACATATGTTCTCTCCTGCAAGCAGGGCAGCCATCTTGAAAAATATGCTCCAGGAAAAGTAAACTGAAGATCAAGAAAAAGATATAAGATTTCTATGGTTGAAAACATGTAGGCTTTGATTTGACACCAAACATAATCATTTAATTGGTGATTTTTCTGTAGTTTTATTAACCACAGAAGCACCATTACACCCATTTTTTCATTATGTAAAGCACAGCAAAGGAGAAGGGGGTATAGCTCAGTGGTAGAGCATTTGACTGCAGATCAAGAGGTCCCCGGTTCAAATCCGGGTGCCCCCTACTGTTTTCATTATTCTACAGGATCCATGATACCTGTTGAGCTGAGACTGCAGGAGCTCCAGTCTGGATTCCAGCTCCCGAGGCCGATCCTCAGCGCAGAACGAAGCCTGAAACCCAGATCTCACTGCTGACTGCCTCCTCTGGTTCTCAGACAGCTGGCTGGATCTGCGGTCTGACCAGTAGCCGTACAAGCCTGACACACTGATAGGGGGCGCTGCTGCACAATTTAGAAAAATACAGTGATTCTTTGCATTTTCTTCCAAGTTTTCAGTTAAAATCAGCATTTTTTTCTACTGTAGTCTTTGCACATATTTCATTTGATTTGGTTTAGAAATATTTTTAATTATTCTTTGATGTGGTAGTTCTTGTTTTACAGTGATTAGATAAATCAGCTACAGAGAATCCACATATTTTTTCTTGTAGCCTTTGCAGATATAAGACATTCATAAACATTTGATTTGGTTTAATATTTTATTTATTTATTTTGTAATTTAAATTGTTCCATTTTATAATTAACAAAAAAACATTCCCCATTATTTTAAAAATAATTTCCTGAGTAAATAACAGTTTCTTTGCTAAACAAGGTCTTAGGTTTTATGTCACCTTAAAACCTAAAATCCTCAGAATATTTAATTGAGGCCAACAAAAGCAAGCACAAAGGTCAAGTTATGACAAAAAAATTACAAGGGTTTTAATTTGTATTCAGCCTCCATAACTCTTAAATGAACCGAGGTGCAGATTCATATTCCGAAAACGGAGATAAACATCCCTCCACTTCAAAATTATGATGTTTTTTGTGTCTTTTACCTCAAATCCTGACAAAATACGTTACATTTTATCAGACTTTTTGTAATAGTTCAATGCATTGTTGGTACCTGGGTACGGAGAGCCTCCAAGATCCACAGCCTGCCCCATTAGAGCAGAAGGTCCACAGTGGGGTCGGATGGCGACCCTTGAAGGTTGGAAGTCTTTGGTGTCAGAACCGTGGACGAACAGCTCCCCCTTGTGTTGAACAGGCTTAATTTCCTCATCACTGGACTGAGAACAAACGCTGGCGCTGCTGCAGAAATCCTCCCAGTGGGACCCGGCTACCGTTCTGCGCCGGTGGTTCACTGTCAGACTCGGCTGGTCTGGGTACGAGTCCTCGTGATCCGTCCCATCTGCATGGATAAAAAGACAAGATGGAGGCGAAAAAATGTAGGTAAAATTTATGACGGTGTAATAGAGGTCATTGTAGATGGGGAAAAAAAGAGAAGGAATACATTTTTGCCAAAAAATCTTCGAAAGTTTCTGAGTTTGAAGAGTCAAGAATTTGATAGAAAAAAACTTAAATTTTCAGATTAATCACAGTAAAATTCCAGAAAAATATAAAGAACATTTCTGAGTGTGAAAAGTTGAAAATGTTCTATAAATACTCAGAATTAATGTCATATTTTCTTAAAAAATTAAAGAGGAGTTTCAAAAGACATTTTGCTAGAAAGAACTCAAACAATTGAGAAAAAACAAGGCAATTAATGAGTTTCAAGTCAAAAAATGTGCAAGAAAAAAAGTCTGAAATTGAGGTTAATGTCAAACATTTTTTTAGAAAAAAAAAAACACGAAAATTTCTGAGTTTCAAAAGTTAAAAATTTTAAACTTTTTAACACTGAAAATCTTCAATTTTTGAATTTCCAAGACTTTTTCCTCAAAAAATTCTGAGATTAATACAAATGTTTGACTATTTTCTTCTATAAAAAAAGAGTTTGCTTGGGAGAAAAATGAAAATAATTTCTCACCCGGCCGGTTCCGCCGCCGCAGGGAGCTTCTGCGATGCCTCGTCAGTCGGCAGCCGCACTCGGAGCTCCTGCTTGGGGTTTGCTGTTTTGTTCTGTCTGCCTGAGTCATATTAGATTCAGTCATTTAAAACCCGAACAGTAGATTTGTTTCTGAAACATTTGGCAACAGTAAGTGGTGTTTTAATGATTTGGCTATAATCATTTTGTTTGGGGCTAGAAGACATGCCATGTTGCACAAAAGTCTTAAAACCAAGTTCTTTTTTGTATCCAAATTTTTTTTCACCCAATCTTGCAAAAATTCTTCAGCAACAATACACTTGTCTTTTCCAGCAGCCATTGTAGAGCGGATACAGCTGTAAAACCAGCTGACCAAACGTGCTGGATCTCTGCGCGGGTTGCAGTGATTTTACAATCGGAAGGTTTTTGAAGCGTCTAATTTTTCAGACAAAAAAAACATTCAATTACTGTCCCAAAAAAAACAAACAAAAAAAGATAGCTGTTTGTTTTTTTACGCAATTGAAATCCAAATGAAAATATAAAAATGTGAAGAAAGTGCAATTTGCATAATACGCACCATTTAAGAAATCGTAAGAAATAAGACTACTATTATGATTAATGATTAAAAGTTTTTGCCATTAGATTCACTATTTACCTTCCATTTCCTTTTCTATTCCAGATAATTCAATTAATTCAACAAATTCCATACGAATGTGGTAACATCGCCCTGTAGAGGTACTCACATCTCTGAGGTTGAAGGTAATCTCCAAATGGCTCCAGAAGGAGTCGGCAAAGTCTGGATACATCTCCAGCACCTCCAGCAGGTCGTCCCTCAGGATCTTGTGAAGGTCGCAGTAGGTCAAAGCTCGAACGTCAGCGCTGGATTTCCCGGGCCTGCCATACACATGGTTGGGTTCACCAAAGATGTCGTTCTTTCCTGCAAAGAAATTCCAGCGAAATATTTCAGTAACTGGGAATATAACTGAATAAAAATAAAAATTAAAGGGATTTCTGGTCTGCAACAGAACAAATGAACTGTCCTCACAAACGCAGCTATAAAAGAAGTGACCTATGCAGGCTGGATGTGATATTGATGATCAATGTGATTGTAAAATGAAAGTGGAGCTGTGCCCAAACACCTCGGGCGGCACAACACACAAAAACAAACGCATGCTGTCAAGATGTCAAAGATGGCATCAGATTATGCTTTGGCCACTGGAGTTACAGCTGCAGGATGTAACAACAGAAACATGTTTTAAATAGAAAATGTAATCCTGGCAAACATCAGATGTAAGTTTCCTCTTTTATCCACAATTTTCTCTTCAGCTGCTGATTCTATACTGGGACCCAAAGAAAATCGATTGTTTTTTTTGGGTCGTAGAAAACTATCTGTTTCGCATTACGGGCTCCTTTCCATTATTCACCGAAAGTGAAAATATTCACAAATTCACTACCTGGGATTTTTTTAGTCAATATATTATTGGTTGTTGTTTTTTTTAATTAGGAAAATAACAACAACTACATATTAAAGAATATTAACTATGATGAAAAGGAAAATAATCATGTGAGTCATAGCCCCCTGTAATCCACCTGCTGGAGCCGCCACTGCTAATCTTTTCATGTAGAACTGAATTCTATTGCCAAAGCAATGCTCACAAGAAAGATGCCAAAATAAAAGCATATTATTTGAACTGTTACTTTTACCTAATGATCCATTAGGTAAAGGTTCAGTTAGCTCCACTGCTTATATTTGCAGCTCACCCAGTATAGCCACCACTACGTCGTCCCTCAAAATCTCGATTGAACCTCTGGAAACAAAGTAGAGGGCGGTGAGAATGTCTCCGCTGTGCACCAGGGTGTCACCCGGAGGCGCGTGGGTCGTCCTGAATCGCATGGCCAGAGCGCGCAAGCAGCCTTTGTTGGCGCCCTGAAAAGCTTTGCAGTTCTGCAGCAAACTGCGGTGCAGATGGAGGCAGATGTCGGCTTGCAGGCACTCAGGAAAACCTTTCAAAACCTGCAAAACAACCAAATAGCATGGACATTTAGTCAATTTCGCACATTAGATTAGCTTGTTACATCATTCTCTGAAGCGCATCGTCTCTACAAAGTGGGTCAACAACTTCAATAAAGAAGCGACACAATTGACCTCCTGATCTGCAGAGCATCACCCCTGCTTTACTGAAAGCAAGTTGGGAAAGTTATAAGGAGCATCCTTGATGCAAAGGACAAACACTGGAGAACTGGGTCAACACAGCAGAACAGAACATTGCAAACACACTGTGACAAAGTAAATGCAATAGATGAACCGTAAAAATCACTCAAAGGAAAGGAGGATCTGCAGTAGATGGTAATGTGATGCATCATTTTTACCAAACATGGTGAAAATGATGAGCTTTGGCTTCCAAGGAAAACTCTGTTTTTGCCATTGATAGGAATTTAAAAACTGTATCTATTTCTGTCTTGCTTTTTTCATGAGTGGCATGTTTTTATTTTACATTTGTTCTTCTTTTTGACTTGTATACTGAAAAGTAAAAAAAAAAAAAAAAAGAAAAAAACACAATAAAACATCCCATTCAGGTGGCGCAGTGTAAAAAACAAAAGGTTCTGCAATTCAACAAACACCAACAAACAAAGATAAATTTTTTTTAGAAATATTCAATAACTCATTATGGAATATTTTTACAAAAAAGGATCGCATACGTCTCATATATCAATAACATTTCATGAATCTGTTGTCATATGAGGTTTTAACGGGTTTTTGGGGCTTTAAAATCACTCACAGCATTCATGTCGATGCCGTTGGTGTAGGACCAGGCGTGCTGGAAATACTCCTCCAGTCTTTGTCTGAGGCCTCCTGGGATCTGGTGGAAGCGAATGAACTCTTTGACCCGCAGCATCTGAGTGTGGTACCGGGCCGTGCCAGAGTACAGCCGCTGAATGATGGCCGACACGTTCCCAAAGATGCTGGCATACATCAGAGCTGAAGGAGAGAAAGACAAAACACTTGGTTTGTAGATGATCAAAATAAATGCCATCTGATGGCAGTCCTGTTAAAAATCTGCTAAAATGTCTGAGAATGTTTTTCAGAAGGACAGAAGCACCACTAACCTAGATAACCTTTAAGTATTAAAAAGGAAAACATGAAATTTAGGTTGATTTAAAATTTTAAGATAACATAAATATCACTTTTTCAGGACTTTTGCGGTTTCTTTTGGAAATGTCCAGCAAATTACCTTAACAGAACTATAAATGTGATGCATGATGCTTTGGAATAGAAATATGGTCTATACAAATCACATCCAACACATCTTTACACAAAATAATTCATAGATGATGAGATTTTAGTTTGCTCAGGCTGATTAGGCCCCCGACCTCAATGTTTACAGCTGTACATCTACGAAAAGCAGAAGTGGAGTCTCCTGCACGACAAGCAAGAATGCAGCAAGTGGTTTCTGGATGGTAAGTCAAAAACAAAACATTTGTTTTTTGAAGGAGTAAATTTCTGCAAAAAAAATGTAGAAATTTCTGAGTTTGAAAAGTTAAAGGTTTGCGAGAAAACCTCAGAAATTTTCAGATTAATCTTAGAATTTTTTTTCCACTTTTGGAAAAAGTATCAAAAGTTGAAAATTTTGTACTTTTGAAACTCAAAGAAAGTTTCTGAGATTAATTTCAAAATTTCTGAGTTTTTTCTAGAAAATTTTGGACTTCTCAAACTGTTCATTTCTAGAAAATGTCTGTGATTTATTTGTGGAAATGTATTAACTTTTTTCCTGTTTACAATAATACACTAAAATCTTCCTACGATCAGACTCAACTAAGAGTTACACTATTTTAACATATTTTTACTCAAGTGAAAGTTAAAAGTATCTATCTAAGACATGATTCACGTAAGAATGAAAAAGTATTTGGTAAAATTCTACTCAGGTACTGAGTAACTGATCAAATTATAATAATTTAATATTTAAAAATTACACCATCAGATGAATCAAGATATAAAGTTAGAAGAAAGTTTGGTATTTTAAGCCTTATAATTACAATAATTTATATAACTAACAAAATACAACAAAACCAGGCAAGAGAAAATCATTTTCCTTCAATAAAAAACTTTAACAGAAACTGCAGGTGTGTGTCTGTGTCAGATAAATTTTTGGTTCAAACATGTTTGTTTTTCATTCAGTGGGTAGAAAATATAGAAATTCACTCAGGTGAGAGTAGAAATACTCCATAATACAATTATTCAAATAAAAATACCCCTAAAAGTAATTTTTTTTTTCAACAAAGATACTCAAGAAAATGCAAATGACTTGTATACTGAACTCAGTTCTTTCTCTAAAACAAATGTTAACTCACAGCCAATGAGCATGACACAGATGGAGAAGATCTTCTCCGGGTTGGTGTTGGGCGAGACGTTGCCGAAGCCCACGCTGGTCAGGCTGCTGAAGGTGAAATACAACGCCGTAACGTACTTGTCCTGAATGGAGGGGCCTGAGCTCCTGTCACTGCTGTTGTAGTGTTTCCCTATTTGGTCGGCCAGGTTGTCGAGCCAGCCGATCTTCATGCCGCCGATGCGTTCAGAGCCGGTGCGCTCCACGTTGCCGATGGCGTACCAGATGCAGGCCAGCCAGTGGGCGATGAGCGCGAACGTACACATGAGGAGGAACAGAACCGCCGCTCCGTATTCGGAGTAGCGATCTAACTTCCTGGCAACTCGCACCAGCCTCAACAGTCTGGCTGTCTTCAGAAGTCCAATCAGAGTAGTTTGGGTCTGTGGCTCCGTCTGCAGGTGTGAGAGGTCATGTCAGCGTTAAAGCAAGCTGCTCATTTCGAAGAGGAAGGTGCTCATCTAAAATAAAAAAGGCCACTAATGAATCTCTTCTGAATCTAATAAAATTGGTGTCAAATGTTTGAGCTACAAAGCAAAGATTTTTATTGTGTCAACATCATCTTAAAGATACTAATAAAAAAAAACGTTTCCAGGTCATTATCAATATTTTTAGAGCGAAAGCAGCACAATTTTTACTGCACAAACGTAGCAATATGTTGAACACCAACCAGACTTTGTAGGCAAACAAACTCATTTGACAAAAGCGTCATAAACGAGGCTGGTCTGAATGAATCCGTTGTCTATCAATGTATGAACTTCTTCAACTTTGCAACCTTTGTCACTTAATCATTGGAGGAGCCGTGAGGATCAGGAGTACTGAACAGAGCGACTGAAATTGTTTTCCAAAGTTGTTTTTCCCAGTTTATTCATATCTTCTACTTGTTCCAGTCCAGCTAATTTTGTCTGCAAACGTTACAAACCTGCTTGTGGCTCAGAGTCGCTGGTATTTACAGAAGTTTGAATCAGCTAAGAAACCGAGCCGGACCTCGTCCCTCCTGACGTGTTGATCAAATTAACGACTTTACACATGATTCATATTAATATGTCCTAAACAGCGCTTCCCCTTAAACCGGTTGGGATTAAAGACGCACAGAAGACGAGATGCTAACCTGTTTTTAGATGCACCTTCTCCATGATGCAATATTTGATTGCATCTCACTCATCAAACTTATAACATATATGAACATAAATTTTCTCATCTTATATAAAAATGTTTGCTGAAAACGAACATTTCCTCATTAGAAGATAAACATTAAAATGTTTTACATCCTTGTTTGTTTGATTAAATCATTTAAGTAAAAGCGATATTAGGATACCAGCTGTCTGTTTTTTGACAGGTTTTACACGAGCAAATTGTTTTGTCATCTGTGACTAAAAACAAAACTAAAAACAAAAATGGCAGCCAAGCAAAGTAGTTTGGTCTCACCTCTTGTGACCCGGAGCGCGATATGAGCAGATCGAACGGGATGGCGGCGACTATATCGATCAGGAACCAGCCCTTGAAGTAGTGCTGCGCGATGCGGCCCGGGTGGCTGACCACCTCGTCGTTGCTGTTGACGTAGGTGGTCCTGAAGTTAATGAGGATGTCCACGATGAACATGACGTCCACCACAAGGTCCACCACGTTCAGCGGGTTGCAGGTGTAGCCGCAAGAGCCTCCGTCATCTTCCGCCTCGTTGAGAAGGAAGGCGGCAGAGTAGGGGGTGAAGATGGCCGTGTAGATGACCAGCAGTAGGATGATCCAGTCCCAGACGGCCTTGAAGGGGCTGTAGTGGAGGATCGTCCACTTGTGGATGCGTGGGGCCTGGAGCTTGTACTCAGGCAACACGTCGGCGCCGAGGGACAACACCTGCAGGTGTGAAAGCCGTTTATATGACTGTCACAGTTCAAAGTCTTTGATCATTTAAAGGGTTTCAAGTTAATAAGAATTAAGAAGGTTGCATCACATCCAGTCACATGATGATTTATTAGGCTTCCTGTTCTAGAGACTACACAACATTTTTTGCACAAAATCATTCTTTGACATTCTAAAAATAACATCTTAATCAGCTCAGTACTTCCTGCTTCCTTTCAGAATGAGCTGTTTTAGGGCCTCTTGTTACTTTAAGCCCAAATAAGATGCTGCTGGTCACAGACCACAACTCAATGTTTGCATTTGCATTTTCACATGTGAAAATGGTAGCTAACACACGTGCAATTATACAATTGTATATCTTTGAAATGCAGAAGTGGAGCCTCCTGCACAACGAGCCAAAATGCACCAAGTGGTTTCTGGATGGTAAGTCAAAAACAAAACATTTGTCATTTCCAGCAGCCATTGTACAGTGCATACAGATGTAAAATCAGCTGGCCCAACGTGCTGCAGCACAGCTTGGCTTGCTAGGAGTTCCAGTTGATCGTGACTTAATCGGGAGATTTTCAAAACGGCTCATTTTCCAGACACCAAAAAACACCAACTTATCACCAAGCAACACCTCAGTGATTTTTAGTGCTTGAGTTGTTTTTAGAAGCAATGGAAATATGAAAATGTCTCCATTGAAGATGACCTATTAGGTTTCCTTAGACAGGTTGTGATTGGTCAATGAAATAAACAAAACACCTCCATTACATTCTTTGCACAAAATCATTCTTAGCTATTAAGATTTTGAATATTTTGAGCTTCTTTTAGAATGAGCTGTTTTAGGGCTGCTTGTCACTTTAAGTAAAATAAACTGCTGCAGGCCACGCCCCCCAACTCAGCGTTTACAACTGCATATGAAAATGGCTGCAAACAGATGCTCAAATATACAACCAAACATCTTTGAAAAGCAGAAGTGGAGCCTCTTGCACAACCAACAAAAATGCAGCAAATGGTTTTCAAACAGCAAGTCAACAACAAAACGTTTGTCTTTTCCAGCAGCCATTGTACAGCGGTAAAACCAGCTGACCAGATGTTCTGGAGCTCCGCTGAGGTTGCTAGGCAACGGGCTGGAGCTCCCCTGGGGTTGACCTGTTATGCAAAATGTGGCTTTTTGCATAATAGGTCCCCTTTGATAACACAGACAGTCAGGAGTGAGTGAGATCCAACTGACCGGTACGACAACGAGATCCTCGGCGGCCCGGTTCTCATCCTGCCGCTGGTGACAGGAACGGACCTGCATCGCCTTCCAGCAGAAAGCTTTCAGTTCACCAGCAGAAATCAGTCCCCAAACTGTTCCCTGATCTGCCTGAGTGCAGCGTTTTAACCCTCCATCCCCGTTTTTGCTGGACATGTGACAGCTCCAGCCAGCGTTCTGGTCAATCGTGGACCCGGGTAAGTGCTGGTATCGACCGGGTTCCCACACGGAGAACTGAGATTAACCACTTCATGAAAACAGTGAAGTTGGGTTTGTTTGGAGATTATCAGTGCAGATGAGAAAAGCATCGTTTCTCTCGTCTTCATTCAGGCGAAGGATAAATAGGAGCAGAAACAGCTGGATTTGTACAACAAGCACAGCTGCAGACTCTTTAACCCAGTTTCACCAAATGTTTTGGGACAAGTGTCATCTAACAGCACTTGCAAAAAATAATTTACCCCCCTTGAACTCTTTTTTAAATGTCTGTCACTGCAATGACAAACTTGAAGCAAGTTTATTTAAGCAATAAATCAATTAATCGCATGATAAATTAAATCTTTTAATGACCAACATAAAAACTCTTTAAAACAAAGAAAAGACAAAAGAAAATAAAAAAATAGATCAAATGTACAATAACCAAAAGCATGGGAAAGGGGTTACTTTTAGGACTGTCGCAGTAAATCAATTAGAAATCAATCATTTCTGCACAACTTGTAGTTTTTCTTGTCAAAATATTTGGACTTTCCCACCTGAGCTGCAGATCTCTGCATCTCCTCCAATGACACAAAGAGCATCAGAGCTTTAAAACGTCTCCATGGTTTGTCTGCTGCTTTTCTGGGGCTTGGCTATAAATCGATTTTATCAATTTGGGATTTAAAGATAAAATTTTTGGAAAATCTGGATTTTTTTTTCTTTGTTTCTTCACCAATGCACTCCTGAGGTTTCCATGGTAACAAGTGATGTCAGCGCAAAAAGCGGCCATTTTGTTTTACAGCTTCTGTTTGTTTTGACTCTACGATGAAATTTAAGGCTCAGAATTTTTTTTGTTATGAGAATAAAGTTAAAATGCAAGAGGAACAAAATAGTAATCTTATGAGAAAAATAACAAATAAATAAATAAAATCAGAAATGTTGAGTGTTTAGTGAAGTTATGCTTTGGTTTTAGTTTTACAGATAATATTTAAATACTTAAAGTGTTTTTTCTAATTAAAAACAACCTTTTTCTTGTAATTTTAATTAGTTTTTTTTTGTAAAAACATAAATTTTCACAGCGTGTATCTAGTAGTTTATCATACCACTAACAGAACTAACAACTGAAATAAGAAAAACGTTTCTTTGTCATTTCTAACTTCATTTTTTTTAAAAAGAAAGTGTGAAAAAAGATAAGGGCACTTTACACCTGGATTAAATTTTATAGAAACATTATACATTTACTGTTTTACACTGGATTTTATTTAGAAGTTTCCACTTAAATGGGGGTGAATGCACATGCACACCACACTTTTCAGAACATGTTCAAAAAAACAAAACAATTCTCTGCCAGTTAAAATGAAAACAACCAGAAATAGTAACGCAAATAGCTTCTCAAGACTATGTGCATGCAGAAAGGTCTCTAAATATGTACTTGGCCATATTAGGCAGAAAGAAAAAACTCAGAGAAGTAAAGCAAGGCCCTTGCAGGGAATAATCAGGAGTCTATTATTGTAAGAGAGAGTTGCTTTCTTTTGCTCCAACTCCATAAATCTTTACACAAATCCAGTGGGAAAAGGCAGAGATCCTCACATGCAACATGAGCGCTCACTCTGATGACAAAATAAACACGTGAGGAAAGGTTCACTCATCCAAAAAATTTTATGCTATTGACTTTGTGCACCACTGTGTTTCATAATGGAGAGCAGGGAACAGGTTTGCATGCAACACAGCTTGTTAATTTAAGCAAAGTTTATGAATCTATTCAGTGAAATATCCAATATGTGTCGTTTTTAGAAGATATACAGACATACTTATGTCTGTATGTCAAATTCTGAGTGAAATTACGATCAACTTATTTCATCGGTTCATAAAGCAAATAAGCTGCACATTCTGTCAACAGTGTTTACAAAAACCTATTTTAACAGACTCAAGCTGTAAAATTTGACACTGACTGCGTTAGAGAAGGTCAAAGAGAAAGCAAACAAGAACAGGACACAGAAGAAATGGCAAGAATCAAACAGGAGTTTGGAGCCAGCGAAGATAAAACCCTAAAAAAGTACTCACAGGTTGAAGTTTCTGTTTAAAGCTCATGATGCCGCACAGCAGAGTGGAAAGAAGGAGAAAACTAAAAAGATGCTTTTAAAAAGAGAGGTAGGAAATCTGTTTGTGTCTGACTGCTGTGTTGCCTCGCTCTTCCTCCCCGTTCAGAGCCCTGCCCTCGCCCAGAGATCCACGTCCTGCACAAAAAAAAATCTTCCGCCGACTCCCTGAATCCCGCTGGCATTTAAAAACCAATAACTAGACTAAAAACCAACAAGTCCTGCTCAACAAGCGAACCTTTGAACTTTCTGTTTTACAATCTCCCTGGGAAATAATCATATGAACATTTACATGAGGGATTTTTTTTGTTTATGTATTGCGCTGCGATCAATAAAAATCAATAGCTGGCTCTTACAGTTAAATAACCCAGAAACAAGGTTATGTTTAACAGTGACATGCCTTCTGGCGGTTTTTAAATGCCATCCGCCCTGCAAAAACACAAAATATAACCAAGTATTTTTGTCCCGTTTCTACTGAAAATATTGTAGTGCACTTAAAATAAGACAAAACTAACCTAAAATGAACTCAAGGCAAAAGGCAGGAGCTGCTTGTAAGTAAACAATTCATTGATATTGATGAAAAAGTTAATTATTTCACTTATAACGCAACAATTTTCACATATTAGAAAGTAGATGCATTTAACATTTGAATCTGTAATATTTTAAAACAGAATGAAGTACACTGCAAAAACACAAAATCTTAACGAATGTTTGTCTAGATTATACTACAAATATCTTATTACACTTGAAAAAAGACAAAACTAATTTGCAAGTAACTTTTCCGCAAGGAATAGGAGCTTTTGTTAAGAGATTGATTTCTTAATATTGATTGAAGTAAAATGTATTTATAAGTGGAACTAGTACTTTCTTAAATCAATTCAGGAAATATTTACGCTTATGTATTTTGCTGAAAAGTTACTCATAAATTAGTTTTGTCTTGTTTCAAGTGCATTAAGATATTTTCTCTAGAAACTAAAAACGCTTGAAGATTTTGTGTTTTTGCCGTCTAAAAATTTGGACAATTATTCTTAAAATTTGAGAATAACATGACAAAAATCAAATATGATTTTAAACTGAACAATAAGAAAGCATCCCATTTTAAAAAAGTGATTTCTATCATTGCTTAAAAGTGAAAATAGCATCATTCTTCTGCTCTGTAAGCAACAGTCAGGCTTTTTATAATATAATCTCATCATTGAGATTGTTTTAGAAGTAAAAAAACAAAGAACATCACAGACAGAACTGGAAATATAAAAATCCAGATCAATTTGAAATACTGATTTCTCCTAATTACACTGTTGTAACCCTGTTTACAGCCAGAGGGCGCCACAAACACACATATTTTCACACAAACACACGCTTGGTTTTCTCTTAACTCGTCTTTAACGAGCCAAAGCTCAATCAGTCACACGCTGTGATTTGCACAGACAAATCAATACGGACAAAGATCAATGATCACTTTCATTTCCCTTCCTTTTTTTGGGGGGGGGGGGTGTCAAGTCAAAATTCAATCAGAAAAATTTATTTACAAAACAAAAACACAAGTAATAGCAGAAAGGTGCTAAAAAAAACTAGCTAAAAGTAGAAAATAATAATAATCCAATCATTTCACCTTTGAAAAACTAACTAAAGACTGTTTTTTAAAAATATATTTATAGCTCAGAATAAAACTTCTTCCAGAAATTCATAAAAACAACATTGTAAAAAACATGAAAGCTGCTTCTGGGGTGCAGCTTTGCAGCGAGTACGAACACCCGCTGACCTCCATTTCCATTAGCGACAGAGGCCAAGGTCAACGGCAGCATCAAGCCTCTGAATGCCGCTCGATAGCCTCACAGCGGCGGCCCTTTTCTCTCGCTTTCATAACTGCATCTCACTAGGACCCCGTTTTACTCCCACAGACAGTCTGTGATCCCCGCACACCCTCCCACTCTCCACATGCAACCTCACAGACTCAGCACCCATCCTCCTCGCTTCGCAGCGCCTTCCTGCCACGAACACGGACAAAGCACACCTGATACAGAGAGACATACATAGATAGAACAAGAGATATTGTAAGAAACTACCACATAAGAAAACTTATTTTTCTCCAGTATTGCTAAAATCTGTAGGCAGATTTACTGAAGAAAACCACAGAACAGAAAAGACACTTTTCAGAAAAACAGACAATCAATTCTATTTATTAAAAATGCATCTTTGCAAATCTAGATTAAGATATTTATTGTGACGTAACAAAACTGGTATCGGTCCAGATAACAGTCCAGTAGTACACTGCAAAAACAAAAAATCTTATCAAGTATTTTTACCTACTTTCCAGTGTAACTAATTTAGTACACGTGAAATAATACAGATCTGATTCACAGGTGACTTTTCAGAAAATATAACTCCTTAATACTGATGAAAAAACAACATTGCTTACAAATTATTTCACTTTTTTCACATTTTAAAAGTGAAATAATCTATGAGTGGAACTAGTCATTTTTCCTTCAATATTAAGGAATCCCTTACTCAAAACAAGCTCCTTTATCTTCATAAAAAGTTACATGTTTGTTTTATCTAATTTAAAGAAAAGACATTAATTGCTGTAATGGCAAGAAAATTGTGAACGAAAACAGAGAAAAATATATATCTTTGTGTTTATTTATATTATATATTGGTCTAATCTTCATTTCCATGAATGAAAAGTTCTGATATAAACTGCAAAAGCATAAAATCTTACCAAGTAAACACATAACCTATAAAACTATTCATAAGTTGTGAAAATTGTCCAATAGTTCAATGCAAAAACACAAAATCTTCAAGCATTTTTTGCATAGTTTTTAGTATAAATATCTTAGTACACTTAAAATAACTTACAAGTAACTTTTCAGCTCAATATGGAAGCTTATTTTAAGTAAATAATTCCTTAATAGTTATGAAAAAGTACATGTCTAGTTATAAATTAAATAATCCGCCAGTGAACTTTAACTTTATTTTCTTTAGTTAATATTAAAAATCCTCCTACATCTTCCTGAAAAGCGACACATAAGTGAGCTTTGTCTTATTTCAAGTGTGAGGTCTGCCAGCCAGACCTCCTTGAGACATTTTGATTCATAAACAATTCAACAGCCCACATAACAAACCAGACAAACAGGCACCGCTGAGCCGAGCCAACAGCAGAGAAACACTTTTTAATCAAGACGTCAGCAGAGTCGAGATAACGAGTCAAACTCTCTGCCAAGCCTTTCAGGAGACCTTCTGTTTGTGCTGCCGCTTTTTCCACAGCCACATTGCATCCGTGTTGCCGGCTGTCAATATCACACCCTGGGTGAGGAAGTGAGATCTCACTGCCATCGCAGCGGCGCTCAACGCAGGCGCATATGGTGATATCAAAGTGCAAATGGATGCAAATTTATGAGCAGTTTATGGTCAGCAGGTGGATTGTTTGAGATTACAAGAGGAGGACAAAATAGCTCTAGAGCTGAAACGCTTTTATCCAGTAGTTCTAAATGATCAAAAATGAAAGATAAATGTGTTTTATGCAAGTGAACACAGTCTGGGTGTTACCTAATGTCAGTTAATGTGCCACTTTTAAAGGTTTACTACATTTCTTTTAGATAAAATTGCTCTCATATGTGGGATTTTTTTCTGCTCAGTTCAGAATGAGATGTTTTAGGGCCTTCTGTCACTTTAAATCCAAATTACCTGCTGCTGATCCCCCTACTCAATGTTTACACTCACGTGGAAATGGCTGCAAACAGATGCACAATTATACAACCATACATGTTTGAAAAGCAGAAGTGGAGCCTCCTGCACAACCAGCCAGATCTACATAATTTGGGTTGAATTAAACATTTTAGAAAGGGCAGCATAGTGCTGTTCTTTGGCACTAACTGATTTTCAAAACCTTACCGGTTACTCTTGGAATTTTCCAGCAATTTACCTTCTTGGAACCACAAATGTCAGCTATTATGCTTCCTTGAACAGTTTATGAGTTACACAAAAGATGTTTGTCACATTTTTCACACAAAATAATTCTTAGTCAGTGAGATTTTAATCTGGTTCGGCTGGCCGCGCCTTCCCCATCTCTCACACATAATTTAGCTGCAGATAGAGGGGCAGTTTTACAACCGTACATCTTTGAAAAGCAGAAATGGAGCCTCCTGTACATCCAACATAAATACAGAAAGGGAGTTCTGGATGGTTAAGTCAACAACAAAACACTTGTCTGTTCCAGCAGCCATTGTACAGCTCAAATAGCAGAACAACCAGCTGACCAAAACCTGCTGGAGCTCAACTTCGGTTGCTAAGTAACGGGGGGAATTCCGCTGGGGTTGCTAGGTAACAGGGGGAATTCCGCTGGGGTTGCTAGGTAACGGGGGGGAATTCCGCTGGGGTTGCTAGGTGAGGGTAAGCTCCTGCTGATTTGTGAAGTTACATTGAGGAGTTTTTTTTAAAACTGCTTGTTTTTCAGACTCCAAAAAACATGAATTTACTGCCAAAGGTCTGAGGGTTTTATTTTAAATGCTTCGATTGCTTTGAGATGCAGCTGAGACCCAGTGATCCTGAACAGAACCTCAGTTTGTCTGTGGCTACAGCAGAAAAAAGTGAAGGTTCTGCAAGTTCATTAATTAGTAGTTCCACATTAAATCCGATTTAACAATTTTCTTTATTCATAATTTAGTATTTTTTCTCAGTGTTGCACTTCCTGTGTTGTCGGGAAGGGTGTGCATCAGTACAGCTTGGTGTGATAACAAGAAGCTGAATTTGTTCTGTAGAGAACATTAATGTAGTTACACCTTAGGTGAGATGATTATTTCACACATTTCCCCTGCGTCTGCTGATGTTTTTAGGAAACCAGAGGAATTATGCCATTAATAGACAAAAAAGTCCCAACTAATCAACAGCAGAAATGATTATTATTTAACAAACCAAAGTGAAACTGAAGAATATGATTGTCAACAGAAAATGCTCTTTGGAAAAGAGTAAAAAGTAAAAAGAACCAAATTTGAAAGATAATTAGTTTCTGAAGAGCTAAAAATATTTGGACAAAAATGATCAATGCATTGTAACCAAAGCAACTAAAGCCCCAGCTAACAATTATTTCAGTAATCAATTATTATGATTATTTTGATGATTAATCAGTTAATCAGATTTCGATCTGACTGATTCTGCAGACTTTTCATTTAACCATTTAAGTCTTTTTATACATTAGCATTTCATCAATTACAAAATTAGTTGACAATTATTTCATTGATCAACAAGAAACAAAAACATATCAGTTCTCCTTTTCTGCGGCGATTCTAAACAAAAAGAAGAGACCTCACCTGTGTGACCTGAGTGACCTTCTCAGTGACGTTCTGGGTTCGGTCTTTGACCTTGCTGGGTGCAATGATTTCGATCTCAGTAGGCAAGGGCGGTCTGAGTCGGTCTGAGCCGAAGGTGAGGGTGACCTGCGGGATGCGTCCGATGGTTCTGTGTCTAATAAGATCTGAGTCGGAGGTGGAGTTCAAAGCACTGGGCTTCAGATCTGCAGCGAGAAACAAACATCAGCAAAGACAAAGAAATAAACTATGAAAGGTAATGTCATCTTTTTTGACATATTATGCTTCCTTAATAGGTTAGAATAAGTTTATGGGCTACACAAAACATGTTCATTACATTTTTTGCACAAAATCATTCTGAGATAATGAGATTTTATTCTGCTCAGCTGTTTTAGGGCCTCCTGTCATTTTAAATCCAAATAAACTACTCCCCAATTCAACATCTACTCTAATTAGATGCAAACAGATGCTCAGTTGTACAACTTTAAAAAGCAGAAGTGGAGCCTCCTGCACAATCTACAAAAATGCAACAGGCGTTTTTTTAGAACCCAGCAAGTGGTTTCTCAATAATACTTAAAAAACAAAACACTTTAATGCAAAAACAAAAAAAACGTACCAAGTATTTGTAGTTGAGTTTAGTACAAATATCTTAGTACATTTGAAATAAGACAAAACAAACCTTTCTCGCAAGATATAGGAGCTTGTTTTAATTCCTTAAGACTGATGAAAAAAGGACTAGTTCCACTGGCACATGATCTCACTTGTAACATGAGAAATAATCTGCCGTGGAACTAACACTTTTTCATAAACATTACGGAATTACTGACTTGAAGAAATCTCCTATATTTTGCTGATATCTTATTTAAAGTGTACTAAGATATTTGCACTAGAAACTAAATTAAAAACATCTTTTTTTGTCTTTTCCAGCAGCCATTGTACCGAGCATACGGCGGTAAAACCAGCTGACTAAATGTGCTGGAACTCGGCTTGGGTTGCTAGGTGAGGGGCAGTGCCTGCAGATTTGTGATGTTACTTTAATAAACATTAATTTATTGCCAATTGGCTCGGTGGCTTTTTTTAAAATTAATATAACTGACAACAACATTTAATTTCCCACCAATATCAATAAAGTACTTTTGAATTTAGAAGCAGTAGAGACCCAGATGAAGTGTAAAACTGTGACTTTTACTTTAGCAGACCTGTCAGCTCCCTCTCTGGTACTCACTGCTGTGAGTTCGGGTTTCCCCGGGTCGACTGTTCCACTCTGCTTTCATGCCGTCAATGTCATCCAGAGACGAGGCCCGCCTCAGGCTGCGGACGCTCTCATTGGAGCAGCTTTGAGGCAGCGCCCCCCTGGTGAAGGAGATGCCGGGGTCCAGCCGCTCCGGCAGCAACGAGCGCCGCTTGGTGAAGGACTGAGCAGCCGGCGAGGGGGGGTCCAGGTCCTGCTCGATTAAAGCCTCGGTCTCAGACTGCATGCAGCTCTCCTTCGAAGGGATCCGAAACTCCTTCAGAGGGACTTCCTCGCTGCGCGGCTGTAGATGAGTTATAATACAAAACATTCATTTTACAGTCAGGCAGCGTGATCAGCTCATTTCATGTTAGCTATAGATCAACGGTCAACAAAACTAAACAAAAACATAGCAAATAATTCAAATGCATTTGACATTTAGGACTGCAACTAGCAAGCCATGTCACAATAAATTAAATCATGATAAATCAATCATTTTCATGATTTACTGTTTCTCTTCTTTCTCTCTTTCTACCCAAAACTTCACAAAAGTCTTTGATTTGGTGCATTTTCTCAACTCACCCTTTTTTCTACGACAATTTTGTTTATGAGACTTCATAATTCATTGGCCCATAACCTGATATTATATATATTTCTCTAAACAACAACCAGAAACGATGGAAATAACATTGGTTGCTGAACTCGACTCGATAAATAAAACCGGGATGATTTTAGAGATTCTGTTTTATTGTTAGCTGTTCTTGAACCATAATAAGTGAAACACTGAGCAACATGTTGATGTGTAATGACGCCACTTGGCAAAATGTTCTCAGCTGTTGACTGTGTGTTCTAAGACTTTGTATTTGTGATTAATTGATTTGGGATTGTTAAAATGTCTTCCAGTTCCAGTATTGAATGTTCATTAGAATTTAAAGTTTCCTCTTTGAGAAAATTTTCTCTTTTCATTTGAACCTTTTTATGCAGTATTAGAAGTACATTAAATGCTCCAAACAATTAATAAATTTTCTTTACTAAATAAGAAAATAAACATTTTATTGTGCAAAATGCAATAACGCAGCATTCCTTTAGTGAATAGATTGTGGCAACAGATGCAAATGCAGTTAAAAATGCTAACAATGTGCAAAAAGCTCAGCCATTTCTGACTGACTTATCAATACAGTGTTGGGCTAATCTGTTCATTATTTTTTGGATTAACCAATTAATCATTGAATTTTAACTGGGAGAATCTAAAACTGCCTCTTGTGAGAAATATAAATATATTTAAGTTTCTGTATTATTATTATTACTTTAAAGGCAAAATGTATAAATTTTTTAACAGGTTTGACTTAATTTCTGCTTTGAGTATGTTGTTCCCTCACCAATTGACCTCTTTTGAGTCTGTATGATCCAGTTAACGATTAACTTTACAAAATATTACCTACATTGAATAAAACAATTATTTTTAGTCCACCTTTTGGTGTGTTTGTTCTAAACACACCAACATATTTGCTAGAACTTAAAATGTACTGTGTTTATAAGGAGCGAGGAAACTGTCAAATATGTGTGTGCATGATTCTAGTATTATTCTGATCTTTTTTGTTGCAAAAATGAGTCACTTTCATGTCAGCTCTGTTGTGTTGGCTTGCTCAGCGCCAGTGACATGAAGAGATACTGTCAGGAAGTCTCTTCCAACAAGTTTACATCTTCAGAGGACAAAGAAAGACTAAACAGAAGTGGAAGAATATTTTTCAGAAGAGAAATATAAACCGAGGGATGACAAAGGTTGCAAACTGATATGAAAAAGTATTTGTCTGCTAATAACTTCTTTTTCGTTTGCTGTTTTCTCACAAAATTCACACAAACAGCAAATGACTCGCATTACTCTGGAGGAATTGTTTTAAATTAGCAATGATAATGAGAAAACATTAATGGGAGATTGGACACTTTCCTCTCACTCTCCAAACCTGTTTTATTATCAATGCTGTGGGAGCAACAGCAGCTGTGGATACAGAAAAAAATTAATCAATAAATGTAAACTCCTCATTGCAGAAACCAAGCTTAAAGGAAATATTTGTTTGTATTTTTTCTGTGCAAGTCAAACTAGACATTGAAAGAAGGATATTGGATATTGTTTCAATTATAGACCAGTTTTGGGAGTTCTGCACTGTGTGCTTTCAGTATCTCACCTGCAGGTAATCCACCACCACGCCTTCGCACTGATCTTTGGCCAGTGACGGCCTTCGCAGGGAGCGAAGTTCTGGTAGTCTCATCTTCATCCGGCGGTTCTGACCTGCGAGGGGAAAAACTTACAACTTCAGATTCAGATACACATGTCTGAATATTACTGGATTATTTTCGCTTGAAAAATGGTTCTATTAAAATATTTACTTTTCTGCCTTGCAGGGATCTGATAAGCGGCCATTTTCTTAAAAACATGAGTTTTCTCTTATATTAACAGGGCTGACGGTCTTTTCACTACATATAATGTGCTTTATTTGACAAACACAGAATAATACTAACATTATTCTGTGTTGGTTGTGTTAAATACAGACTGATTAAGCAGATAATTATGATTTTTGACATTATTAAAGTGCTGCTTGTGGATGCTATCTATCATGTTACAATTTTTCTCCGTTTTTCTGAGGAACTTCGTCCAGTGTTTATATTTCAAAACAGAATTGCATAAAGAGTATTTAGCATCCCACAGCGGAGTCCTTCTGGACCGTTTCTTTTCTACTCTGGGATGCGCCGCCATCTTGAATTTTGTATCAACAACGCTTGAGTGTGACCACCGGCGCCCTCTGCTGGATGGCAGCCAAACTGCAACACTAACACGGTCTAAGCCAGGGATGTCAAAACCTTTTGCACACAGTTTCAAAACCCCGAATTTGAAAGTATTCAGGAGCCAAATCTTTCTTTTTTGCTCCCCCAATAAAATAAAAATATTTTTTTTTCTATTTGTCTAAAAAACAATAAATAAAACATGTGATTTTACCTTTGCCTTCATGTTTACAATTATTTAATTTTTGGGGGGCTTGTCATTTTCATTTTTTTTAAAAGTCTATAAAATATTTTTAGTATTTTCTTCAACAATCGTTGGTGTATCTAAACAAATCTAATAAATTGCCCAACAGCATTTTGAGGAAAAACTCGCTGGATGCTTGAGGCACAAACTTTGGGAATAAAAAGGCTAACGAAAGAAAGAAAGAAAAATTGGTGTTGTATTTAACATTTTCCGTTTAAGGATATATAAACTGAATTACAATAAGCCTCTGAGGGCCAAATTTGCATAATTCTTGAATTGAAATTAGGGGTCTCACAAAATGAATCCAAAAGGTCACAATTGGCCCACGGGCCGCACTTTGGAAACCCCTGTTTAAGCAGACCTTGCTAGATTATCCATTGTAGCTCATTTTAATAAACCATTAATTGACAATTAATTATAAGTAGATTAATTGTTTGCATCCCTACCATCTTGTCAAAGTTTAAAAACTACAGGCGTCACTAAATATCGTCCTGATTAATAACTACAGACAGATCTTCATTTATTACAAAATGGTACAGTTTTTCAATCTCAAAGTGGATTTACAGTAAAGCCATCCTTGGGTGACTCTCTGCCTTAAGCCTGACTTCTTGAGCGAAGGATCAATGAGCTCCTGGAAGTCGAGGATGAACATTATCACATGGCCTTCCTCGTTTTTGACGGGTACGATATCCACTCGGCAGGGTCGGCAAATCCCTGCAAACAAAGAAGAGTTCTAAAAATATTCATATATAATGAGAAGGGGGCACCCGGAGTTGAACCAGGGACCTCTTGATCTGCAGTCAAATGCTCTACCACTGAGCTATACCCCCTACATACAGAGCACTACTGAAGTCTGTGGAAAAAATCGAGAAAGGAACATAAATGCCGGTTTAAATCAGTCTGATCTAAAAATAGAAATACAAAAAACACACAGATCTGAGACCGGCAGGCAAACAGATCGTCTGCGTCTGTTCGACAAGCCGAGGTCCAGCCTGGAGATTAAAAACGGAAAGTCAGTTTAATTTCTGAATCATGTTGCATTCACTTGTTCCCTCATTTCCCCTCTCCATCAGGCTGGGAGCGCAGCGGGAAGCAGGAGACAAAACAAATAGATGCTTCGTGGATTTGAGTTGGCACAATGAACTCATTTCCATGACAACAACACACCAGACCGCATGCCTCACAGCGAAATGCCGAAAGGAGAAGAAGACTGGGCAAAAGTTTGAGTCATCCCTAAGTCACAGACAATTCATTCCAGCTTCTGTAGCTGGTTTTGCAAAGACACTGGACACAGATGAATGGGCAGAAAACCTTTTACAAACTATTTTGTCATGCAGCAATCACAGGTTCATCATCACCTTCCTTGGAGTAGTAGAGGATCTCCACCTTGCGCTCCTCGGACCCAAGCAGGGCCTGCGCTAACTGGGCCAGGGCGCTCTTCATGGTGCCAGGACCAACCAAGAACTGGCAGGTGCAGGGCTGCTGCATGATCTCGGCCCGGGTGAAGCCGAACATCTGGCAGAAGCCTTCATTGCAGTAAATGATGCCACAGTTCTTCATCTGGGCATTGGCGATCAGAAACTTGCGATCTGGAAATGCATGAAAGGGGTCAAACAAGGTCACGGTTATTCTTGGAAGCAGCAGAAACGTCTCTAGATAGAGTGTGATTGAATCAGCCTAGTATGGCTGTTAATTTAACTGTTTCTCCTCATCTTCAGCTGACAATAAGCCAAAGTGGAGCTGACGCCGTCCGGTTTTCCATGGCGCTAACGTTATTAGCGTCCCAGTTTCTCCCAGGGGATTTAACAGGAAGCAGGTGGCCAATTAGACTTAAACATTATTGGGTAGCATTTTTTCTCAGGTAATGTATTTAAACCTTTTTAACCTTTTTGTCCACATTTTTTAATTGCATAAAGTTGTTTTCTCATTTGTCCATCTTATTTGAGTCTTGTTATGGCAACAAGTTGGACCCATTTTATCTGTGTTTAAAATCTTTATTGTCTCAATTTACAGTAAAGCTCAATTATAATTTTGTTCTTTAGTGTGCTAGATGTTTTTATTTTGTTTATTCATAACTATGCATGTCGCAATAAATCATTTAAATGTTATTTTCACAATAAATTAAAAGAAACTCGGTAATTTCCATTTGCCTGGTTTATTGGTTTTGTCTTTTCTCTCTTTCTACCAAAAACTGGATGAAAAAAAATTCAGTCTGGTGCTTTAGTCTCAACTAGCCCATTTTCTGAAGGATAGTTTTGCTTTCAGTGACATTTTTCATTTTATTTGATGTGTCTGTTCATGTATTTTGGATATTTGAAACGTCCTCCAGTCCCAGTGTTAGATAGTCAATAGAACTGAATGCTATCTGATTATTGATCGGTTAATAATCAACAGATCAGGCAGAACGAATTGATCTTCTCATCTTAATATAAGTATCCTTTTATGCAAAGTATTAACTAAAGGAATGCTATGTTACTGTATTTTAGGTAATAAAATATTTTATTTACAAAAGAAATTGGAATTAATAATTTGGATCTATTAATTTATTTCTGGTATTGTATTTTAAAAAGTGTCTTTATTTCTTTTAATGAAAAATCTGAATAATGTGGCAATTTTTAACTAAATTAATAGATTAACCCTCTAAATAATAACTGGAATAATCAGTTACTAAATTAAATAATCAAATAAACTTGTTTTTCCTTGTCAGTTGTTAAAGCAGACACAAATATTTAAACAAATTTCTCTGAACAGGGAAGTAATCGACCTAACTGCAGTTACACTGCAAGCATTTTTCTTGACGTTTTCTACCTCCCCACATCTCTGTACGCACAAACCCCCTGCTGTGTCTCTTCGGCAGTAAATGACCCCTCCCTGCAGAGGTCACACAACACCATCGACTATCTCCTTCCCTCAGGAAAAAACCAGCTGCAGAACTCTTTCAGTTGCTGCAAAACTTGTCAAACTCAAAGCTAGAGCTGAAATGACTAATTAGATTAATAGCAAATAATCAATTATTGAAGTAATTGTCAACTAGCAATCAAGTAATTGCTAGCTGGAGTACATAGACTGAAAAAAAGACAATTTGTTGAGAAAAACAACACAATCAGAGCAGTAATTAAATCGAAACTGTACAAATTCTTTGCATTTTGTGTAAGATTAAAAAATAAACGTAATAAATAAGTTATACCCAAAACTCAAGCGGTTTAATTTCAGCTGCACTCAGTTCAAATTCAGTGAAAATCTATTAATTGTCTTTTGCTAGTTAATCCAAAAAGTACAAAAAAATCAACTGCAGAAAGACATTGAGCTTCACTTTTTAAAATCATAAATATTTTTAATCGCTGCAGATGCCTCCTTCGCTAAAGAAAGATGCTACAGAATTTCAGGCAATAAAATGTTTATTTTCTTATTTATAAAGTAATTGAATGAATTATTAGAAACACTTTAAATGAAAAATCTGCAGAATGTGTCAAATTTTTATCTGATTGTTCGATTAATCGTCAAAAAATAATCAGTCGATTAATCAATATCTGAAATAATAATAATAGCTCACACTAAAGGAATGCTACATCATTGCATTTTAGAAAATAAATTCTGTATTTTCTTATTTAAAAAGGAATTGTAATTTGTTTACATTTCGGCTAGAGAGGAAAATATCCCGAATGTGTCAACATCTTATCCGGTTAATCGATTAATCGTCAACAAGTTGCAGCTCTAGCTGCTCAAACATAAACAATACCCAAGTCTTATTAGTTACTGTCACCCATGTCGCTCACAAAGCAGCAATGAAATGCTGCATGAAGACAAACTGGACAGGATTGTAGCTAATAAAGGAGTTAAATGAACTCATGGAAGGGAACATAAATAAACTCAGTTTCTTTTATCACAGCTCTGGAGGAGCCAGCTGTTCGCTGCCCACACAGATGAGCGGAGCGGAGCGGAGGGAGTTTTCTCTTTAAACTAAACGTCTGAGCTACTCTGGCGGAAAGCACATCCTGTCCAGTGTCATTATCTGGGGCTCACGCCGATCGTCACGGCGTTGCTAAGCAGCACCACTGTTGCACGTGCGCTCACCTGGCCGCGCACATGCGCGCGCACTTTTAGGGACACGGTTCAGGCATTACATAATAGACTTTTCCCTCAAAAGGAGCCTCCAAGACTCAGACATGACCAAAGAGGAAAAACTGACGGATACTTTGGATTCAAGCTGGAATTTAAAAATATAAGAACAGACTAAATGTGAGGTTCAGGTTTGCTTTACGTGCAACATCTGTCCTTTGCCAAAATCCTGGATGCAGGGGAAGATTTTCGGTTGTCTCTCCCAGAGAGAACATGTGAAAGAATGAAAAATGGGGCATTATGAGAGAGCAGAGGAGCAGAAGTACTTTGAGGTGTATGGAGGCACTTTAGATGTGGATTTTCAATGCAAAAGCAGCTGTAAATACAGACAATTAACTGAAATTAATTGTCACCGTTTTGCGGCGCCCTCTGGAGCGGCGCCCTGAGAGAGCATCACTTTAGGCGCTGCAGGTGTAATTAAACTGCAGCACAAGAAACGGGGAACAATCTCTCAACTGCCAGGCAATAAAAAAATTAAAACAAAAAATGTCCAACAAATGGAGAATTTCATGCTGAACAAGTTTGTGAAGCATTAACTTTAGTTTTAAAGCTTTTTAATGTTTTATTTTTTTAGGGAAGAGCAACAGGCTTGCAGAATATTATTACGGGTGCTTCATTTAAGTCAGTTTATATGTAATAAAATTAATACATTTTATTTGCACTTACTTCGTTCGTCGAATTTCTTGATGATTGTGTCCAAATATGTGTTCTGCAGCGCAACATGACCGCGTCTTACAGGCATGTTGACGCATGAACTTCACCGGTTTAAAATAGCCACGCACATTCAAAAAAAAAAAAAAAAACCAAAACAAACAGCAAGGGTTTAAAAAAAACAAACAAAATGTGTTCAGCTGGAAGTTAACAAACAAGCAGGTTCTGGTGCGATGGAGGAGGGTGGAGAGGAGGGATGGTTACCCCGGCGATGGCAGATTCAGGAGGGGAAAAAACCTGAAAAAGTTCACTTTAATACCGGAGCAGTCGGGCTGCACACAATCTGCGAATAAACACCAGGATCGAGCAGAAGGAACGAGGAAACCTGCAGAGGGAGAAAGTTGTGAAGCCGCCAGTTTGGGTTTGAATCCCAGTCAGGATGAGGATGCAGAGGAGGAGGAGGAGGAGGAGGAAGGTTGACTGATCCTCTTCCCTGTCACCCCCAGCTGCACAGGAGAGAGTCTGAGCGGAAACTCCCACTGAGCCTTCAAAATAAAACTCTCTGCCTCTTACAATGTTGCAAAAATGAAATGGAATAAGTGAACCATTCTGAAACATTTGAACTGTTAAGGTTTAAAACATCCCTACATTTGTATTTATTTATTTTAATTGCAAAATCAAAGTCTCACAAAGTATTTGTGTCTGGTTTGAAGTAAGAAATAATTCAATTAATTTGAAAGCATTCTCGGTCCATTTGTGAAGTTTTTTGCACTGTAACACTGAAAAAATGTCTTGTTTTTAGTGAAATAATCTGCCAATGGTGCCAATACTTTTTAAATCAATATTATTAAGGAATTATCAACTTGAAACAAGCTCCTATATTTTGCAGAAGAATTACCTGCGAGTAATTATTGTCTTATTTCTAGTGCACTGAGATTTTAGCACTAAAAAGTAAATAAAAATATTTGGCACAATTTTGTGTTTTTGCAGTGCATATGCTTTTCCAAACATTTTCCAAATAAAATCAACCTGAAGAAATGCTTTCCAGAAGCATATTTACACATCTTGACAATGACAGTTGTCACATTCTTTTATCCAAACCAGGTTTGGACTTTGACTAGGCCAAAGTCCAAACCTACATGAGTTGGTGCGACTGGACTGCAACGTTTGGCTCTTGCTGCTCCAACACATCTCAGTTATCTGAGGAGAAATTAATAATTTTTTATTTTTCATCATCTCATCAGGCGATATGGACTCAGAATTTCATTGCATTATTTTGAGGTTTGTAAAAAACTGTTACTTATTTTTAGGTAACTACATCACCAGCAACTTAATGTTATTGAAAGATATTCCCATTTTAAATAGGCTTCTTCAGAATGTCACTTAATTAATTTTTTATTTATTTATATCATTAAACTGCAGGCAGCAACTTCATTTCATCATATTTTTAAATTCATGGATAATTATTGATGCAAAAAGTGGAGAAAATAGTAAAAGTGACATTTCAAATCTTATCATACTGTCAGTTTTGTATTTTATTAACCATTAATAACTGTAATATATCAATAACAAATTTTTCATGATAAATAATAAACAATACAATAAATTTTACCTCTAAATTTCTGTAATGTGGAGCAAATCTTTCTGTTTATGTTTGAATTTTTATAATTCTGTTGTTAGCAAAAGTAAATAAGCTGTGGGTAAAATAACCCAAAATTGAACTCCAGTAAGAGTAAAATTAAAAAGGAGTTTTTTACTCAAGGAAGAGTAAAAAGTACAAAATACTCATAAAAGTAAAATTTTCCAAAAAGTTACTTAAGTAAATGTAACCAGCTACTACCCAACTCCGATTATATTTGCATCTGATCAGATTATCAGGAATTTAATATTTAACAATTACATCATCAGATGGACCAAAATCATTATTATTTGAGTTTTATCCACTGGTTTTGATAGGACCAGTCAGAATCATCAAAAATAACAAAATCAGGCAGAATAAAATGTTTCCAAATCAGTTTCTTTCAATAAAAAAACTTATGAACATCAACAAAAACAGCAGATGTGTGTCTGTGTACCTAAGTAACTAAAGCAAAAGTAACTGAGTAAATGTAACTTGTCACCTTCCAACTGGTTTTACTTCCTATTAATTTCTTTTAACAGCTCATAGAAAGGGTCAGGGTTAGGGTCAAGAGTTTATTCATGTTTTCTTTTGGAGATCTTTCCTCAAAGGCTTTTATTTTGAAAAACCTTTCTGGTGGTTAACTTTCCACAGTCTGACACTGACAGAAAGCAGATCATCAGTCAACTCTCCTTCACTCCACATCACAAAGTGCTCAAAATAGAAACATCCTCACACCTCTGAAATATCGCCCAGCCTCAGTCATGATAAGCTCAAATGCTTTTTCTCATTTTATTTTTTAAACATCTGCCGTTGAACCCCACCGCCAATAAACCTGTGGAAACAGAACTGAACCAGAAACAAAAACCAAGCAATGAGCTCGAAGTGAATTCACACAAACTGTGTCCGATTCGTCGTCGTCTCGATAAAAAAAGAATTGTGAGCCGTGATTTTGAGGGTAGAGCTCACTTTTATAAATAAACGCCTCAAAGTTCTGCTTTAGCTTAACCGGCAGACACATACCTGGCAGTTGGAGAGGTTCAGAGACTAAACAGACATTTAGGGTCATCTGAAGGTCAACCAGGGAAGAGGCTTCTTGACAAAAACTCCATTTGTTTGGGACAATCTGCCACGACGGAGTTTCAATGACCAACCAAACAGAAAAACAGCTCTGACGTATTTCAGCATTGACTGGGAATCATTTTTTATTCTTTGAATTTGGGATTCATCAATAGAGAATAAAATATGCAACAAAAACTCAGTTTTTCATTTTTTTTCTAGGTTCTGGTGGAAATAATACACCTTAAATACGACAAAATAACTTAAAAGTAACTTTTCAGGAGCTTGTTTTAGTCAATTCATTAATATTGATTCAACAATGTATGATTAGATGGAAAATGTTTTAATATAAATGAAAGAGAAACAATAAATCAGCACCAACATCATTATTTTATAACATATCGGTATCGACTCTATAAATAAAACTGGACCGATATGTATTTTGATCTGTTTTTTTCCCGCAAAGGTGTAGAAACAGCAAAAATATTAACATTTTGTGTTTTTGCAGTGTATAAACCTTGGCAATTATCTTCAAATTTCAGAATAATAAGACTAAAATGTAATTTAAAAAAGCATCTTATATAAAGAATAGCATTAGATGATAGTGGATGACGTGTTTACTTGGTGAGGTTTTGTGTTTTTGTTATAAACAATACTTCTTAACATTTCAGAATAATAGAAAATCTTTTTGTTTTGAAAAATCCCAACCAGCAGTTGTTTTAGCTTTAACAAAAACAACTGTTAAAGCTCAAGTAAAAGTAAAAATACTACTATTTTTTAAAAAATGTAATTGGGTAAATCAAACTCTGATTATATTTGCATCTATTATTTTCACAATTTGTGAATAAGCAAAGTTGGCATTAAATTCAATATTTTGCAATCAAAGTTTAATTTGGAAAATGAATTAAACTGAATCATGAGCCTCAGAACCGGCTCAGAGTTGGATTTAGTGTTCAGAGATTACAGAAACCGTGGCTTCGCTGTTGGCTGAAGAGGAGGAGGAGGCGACCCGGTTGATCTGGGTTTCGTCTCTCCAGAACTTGATAAAATGACGGTTAAAATTAGCGAAGGGCGCGCGTGCCTTTCCATGAGCCGCGGTGTGAGCGGCGAGTGACGCGGGAACAAGAGGGCAACGAACAGGACTGAAACACCGCCTGACCCGAGTGACCTGCTTCACACTGCAGCCTGTATATATATGATATATGCTAATATCTCCTTTTGAAATATCTGAAGTTTTTCTTTATAATATAAATGCACCACAAACCTATGATATAAACATAAACTTTCCATAAGAAGGAAAGAAATAAAAAGTACATCCAAACTATTTGAATTATTAGTTATTATTGCAGAATTATAAAGTCATCTGACAAACAGACAAACATTGAAAATAAATCAAATTCCAATCAGTTTTTTGCAACAGAGTTATAATAAACACGTTTCACCAAGGTTCTTTAAATGTATTTGAAATTTTAAATTGACATTTGTGATTGTATACAAAATGGACCGGTGAATATTGAAGTGAACGCAAAAGAAACATTTTTCCCGGTAAGGCGATAATCGTCACTATCCTGACTATCCTGGTGCAAATGGGTAGAAAAACAACAATATGGCGACTGTAATGAGGTTTAAGTTGTTAATATGCTGGCTGTGGTTGGATAACAATTTAAAAATCATAAGCATCCATGTTTACAACACTATAAATGTCACTATATGGAGAATAAAGTTACAGTATTTCTATACTTAAGTCAGTAGTACAAGAAAAGCTGTGACATTACCATAATAAAATCATAATGTTATGACTTTATGTTTTTTATTTCTCCATCGTAACTTTTTAATGTCACTTTGGATGAAATTTAAAACTACTTAATCTTTTCTGCTTGTCCTGTTTAAGGCCAACTAACTTTTAAAATAAATTTAATACATTTTAAGGCCTTAATTCTACACACATGAATTTAATACTTTTTAAGGACACCCCGATATGAAAGGAATATGACATTTTTACGTTGGTTATTTTGATTACTTCTTATGCTCTATGCGCACATGGCAGCTGTATCCTCTTCACACCTACAGCAGAGAGATAACAGGACCGAAAACAAAATGCATGGAGTTAACCCCGACCCTTCCCGCTGCTGTGCAAGAAGACTTTTCTGGAAAGCTTTATCTGCCTGGAATTCCTTCAGCTCCAGCCAGAGCCCGTTCTGTCCCCCTGATAAGAGAAACATGGACTTTACACCAACCAACTCAGTTCATCCTGCACATTACAGGGTTACAATAAACTACGGTTTTTCATTGTTGTTCATTTTTTTCTTTGTGACTTTTTATTTTTTTTAATTCAGTTAGTTTTGGAGTGTGTTTGTAAGTCTTTTTAAATTAAATATTTCTAATTTTCAGTTCAATTTTTTTTATTATTTATAACAGTAGTCTTAGTTTTCTCACTACTTTGGACAATTTTAGAAGCAGATTTAAAAAAGGTAGAAGTATTGTGTTTAATCCTGAAATAAACCCAGTACATAACTGATGCTGGAGAAGAAGACACAAAGAACCGCTGCGGCATGTCGCCCCCTGCTGGTTGGGCTCCATCACACTACTGTCTGAAACTAACAGTTGACAATCGATAGCCGCTAACGGTTGAGAATACTCAGCCGCTAATGCTTGTGAATAGTTAGCTGCTAACGCGTGAAAATAGTTAGACGCTAATGCTTGAGAATCGTTAGCTGCTAACGCGTGAAAATAGTTAGACGCTAATGCTTGAGAATCGTTAGCTGCTAACGCGTGAAAATAGTTAGACGCTAATGCTTGCGAATAGTTAGCTGCTAACGCGTGAAAATAGTTAGCCGCTAATGCTTGAGAATAGTTAGCTGCTAACTCTTGAAAATAGTTAGCAGCTAATGCTTGAGAATCGTTAGCCGCTAACATGTGAAAATAGTTAGCCGCTAATCCTTGAGAATTGTTAGCTGCTAACGCTTGAGAATCTTCTTGGTGATCCAATTATTGTGTTTTTGATACAGTTAGTCACACTTTATTTTTGACACATTATCCTTTTTCAACTTTTTTTCATGAAAGCCTTTAAGACGCTCTAACGAGATAACAGTTCAATAAAGAGCTTCGCCAGGGATGTCCGGCCTCCCCTTATATTTTTCTGCTTGTTGGCCAAATTCTAAATTTCTTTAATCAGACAGAGGTCATTTGAGAGAATTAAAACATTTGATCAAGAACTTAAAATTTCACAATTTGCTGGTGATAATATTTTTAATAAATACTATTGAAATTTCTTTGTTATAGTTAAACTCTCAAGCATTTCAGGTTCGAAACACACTCAAAAAATGTTAAATCCTTCAAAAATTTTAAATATATATATATATATATATATATATACACACAATTTCTGTTCCTGTAAAAAACACTAACTTACCTAAGAGTTAAAATCTCCTCTAACCATAATAACATAGGTATCAATTATACTCCTGTTGTTGAATCAATTGAAAATAAATGTAACAGTTGGTTAATTGGGGATTTAACTATTTATGGTAGAGTACTATTAAGCAAAGCTACTTGGCTTTGACACTGCAAAATAACAAAATCCTACCAAGTATTTTAGTTCTAGTAAAAAAAATTTAATATTAAGGAATTATTTGCCTAAATAATGCTTATTAATTTTGCAGAAAATTTACTTGAGTTAGTTTTGTCTTAATCCAAGTGTAATAAGAAATTTGCATAAGAAGCTAGGTGAAAACTACTGGGTAAGATTTTGGTTTTTTGCAGTGCAGGAAGTGATATTTAGTTCACAAATCTTATTTGAGGCGTTTCTGTGGGTCTTCTGCCACTGAAACCCGCCTGACGGGCAAATCCCTGCACATATTATACTCATCTTTACTGAAACTATTCTGATATGTTGAATGTGTCAGCAGACAGAAAAAAACATGAGCCATCAGTCAGAATGACGCATTTAAACACAAACACAACAAAGTATTTTATTTTTAGCATTGAGTTAAATCTGCAAACATTTCCTAAGCAAAAAAATAATAGAAACATTAAAAAAAACAAGAGCAGAAAATACATCAGTGTGTTAGAAAGGAAAGGAGACGAAGTAGGAGGCATGAATCACACGGTGACCTTGGTGAGGGTCAGAGGTGGCGCTCGGGTCTCGGCAGCGCCTGTCAGCGTGTTTCAGTCCAGGACTGACGCGTCTCCATCTTCCTAACGGCAACATCCTAAAATGGCCAACATCCCAGAGAGCGAGCTCTGCCGCTCCACTCATCATCCGCTCTCTGGCCCGACGCTACAAAAACTGGCTGAGCAGGAACCCCGGTGTGAAGGGCAAAGGTCGCGTTAGCTTCCACGCCTTTAACAGATACCTGCCTGTCTTCAACTCGTCTGCAAGACGAGAGCCTGGTCCAAACACTTCATCCTCATTGAAACTGCAGTTTTAAAATCAGAAAATGGATCACAGCCTCCAAAAATAGAGATTCAAAATTCTGACTCTTTAAACTCACAATTCAGACTTTTCACTCAGAATATGGAGTTTCTCAGATTTTTGTCAACTCAGAATTCAGACTTCTTTTTGAATTTTGACTTTCAAAATAATTTTTTTTCTCTCTCAAGATCCTTACTTGTCTCAGAACTCTGATGTTAATCTCAGATTTCTCACATTTTTGTTCATTTCTGACTTTAATTTCAGAATTCCAACTTTTTATCTCAAAATTCCGACTTTTTAAAATCAAAATTCTGAGATTTTTTTTCTCCCAATTCTAACCTTTTCTCAGAATTTGGACTTGTTCTTACTTTTGTTCCTCAAAAAGTTTACTTTAATTTGAGGATTTCCACTTTTTAAATTCAGAATTCTGATACTAATATCATAATTCTGAGCTTTCCCCAGAAATTTTCTTCTCAGAATTCTGACTTTAGCCTAAGAATAGTTTTTCTTACTATTTTAATTATGTCAAAATCCAAATAAAAAACTAAACATTTTTCATATGTTAGCATTTAACATATGCTAAATGCATATGTTAAATGCATTTAGCATATAACATATGTTATATGCTAACATTTGATGTTAGCATTTAACATATGCTAACATCATATGTTAAATATGATGTTAGCATATGAAAATAATCTCATATCCATTTCTTCCTTATTATAGATTTTGTAAACCTGCACTTTATTTGCACTGAAAATCTGTACAAAAATTACTTGGGAAATTTAATTTCTCAAGTATAGTCTTTAAGAAATTTAAAGACTAGTTTTTCTTGATGCTGCATAAACAATTTAAACAAATCTGATTCTGAGAGATTCTGATTTTCTTTCCTCCTCCAGTGGCACTAATCGTCTTCCGTACAAGGATGCTTGATTTATTATTTCTAACTCTTCTGATCCAAGATGCATAACTTTGCCTGCGCCACAAATTATTAGAGAGAAAAACTCAACTTTATCTGTTACATGTCTAACTGAACAACTGAAACTCCTGAAGGAAATAAAAAAAATAGCACCAGGTGAATGTGAAAGCAAACCGCTGGGATTCAGTCGTCGTTCTGTCAGAAGCTGCTGTGCCATAAACTCATCTCCCGTTTCTCACCCAGAATCCAGTTTCAGTGTTTACGAACCAATCCCACCACGTTTCACGTCCACGTAGCCACACCTCAACCTCCACAACAACGCCACAAATTACATCAACACCATCTACCTTTCAAGGCCTTTTCTACGACAGATTACTGGAATCAATGCAAACAAAATCTCATTTTTCCGCTACGATAAAGTTTTACATCTTAATAGAGTTGGTTACATGACTGTATCGACTTAAAACTTTACATGTTAGTCTGGAAGTAATTGTAAGGGTGCTAAACGGATTAGAAAGCGCTTCATAATGGAGGCAGCTTTGAGGTTTAAACTGAAAATAAAGGAATATTTCTTGCAGAAAGATCAGAATGTGTTCGAGGACAAAATGGAGAAATTCTTTGCAATTCAAGGAAGGTCTTTGTGTTCAGTGGTCGACTCCTTAATGATCTGAAAAGGAAAAAACCCACAGATTTAGTGTTTAAAAACAGCAAAAATTAACACTTGGTGCAACACTGCCACCTGGAGGGACAGCATGAGCGGTGCAGCTCCTACCTCCCCGTCTCTGGTCTCCACAGTTCGGACCAGGATGCTTCGCTTCACATGAGCCTCTGGAGTTTTAGTGTCCAAATTAGTTTCTAACCAGAAAACAGATAAAACATTTAGGATCTCTGGAGAATGCAAGAAAATCTAAAAATATTTAACTTCTTTATAATAAACACTAAATATTAAATTCTGACTGGATTGAGTATATCTAAATATTTTTAATGATGAATTAGAAGGAGACCTTTAAAGTGTTTTAATTTATAAACCTGTTCTTATATTTATCAAACGACTGACTGAAAAGCCAAGCAAAAAAAATACAAAACTGTTTTTCAGAGTAAATTAGTATTAAGGAATTTGTGTAATGTGTCGCTTCACACATTTATTATTATAAATATTTTATTGCAGTTTATTTTACTGTTTTATGACTTCAAATGTCAATAATAATAACATTTTCAGCAGTTTATCTAATACAAATATATTATTATTCTGTTTTAAAATAAGATAAGTGGTAAGTTATTCCTCTTTATGTTCCTATAATCGCCAAAGTAAATTTTTTTTTATTTTATTTCATGACTTTAAATGGAAAAAGAAGAATCTTAAATGTGTCACTGTACATTTCTATTAAAACTAACATAGATAAAAAAATATTTTTATTTCAGTTTATTTTTACAATTTTGTGATTTTAAATTAAAAAATAGATTTTCTAAACTTTCATCACCAAACTATCACAATAAGATTTTGTTTATTTTGGTTTTAATTATCTTAACTGGCAAAAAAAAAAATCTCTCTTTATATCCCTACAATTTATTTATTTATTTATTTCTATTTCAGTTTATTTGTATGGCATCAAATTTAAATTTTTTTTGTTTGTTTTAATAACTTTAAATGGCAATAATAATAATAATGATAATGATAATAATAATAATAATAATAATAATAATAATAATAATAATCCTATGTAAGACATTTAGCTTTGACTCATTACAAACATAAATAATGAACATATTTTATTAGAAGTTTATACTTTCTGCTCTCACAATGAAATTAAATTTCCCCTCTTCCAACCAAAAACACTTTATTATAGGAAATTTAATTAATTAATTTAATATTACTGCTGCATTTGATTCTGACCTCTGAACTGCAGGTTGGAAAAGCTCTGAACTGGAATGGTGATCCTGATGGCAAAAAGAAGAAGAAAAACATGTTTTTGTTTCACTGCTTTAGTGGCAAAAGGCCAAATATGTCCGGTTTTCAAAGCTGCGTCGTCACCTGCTCTCCTCCCCTTCCAGCAGTTTCCTGTAGGTGGCGATCTCGATGTCCAGAGCCAGTTTGACGTTGAGGAGGTCCTGGTACTCCTGCAGATGCCGAGCCATCTCCTCCTTCAGGGCCTGGATCTCCTCCTCCAGGCGGCTCACCGAGTCCTGGTACCCGGCGGCCTCCATGGCGCAGCGGTCCTCCAGCTCCCGCAGCTGCCGCTCCAGAGACTCGTTCTGCAGGACGGGGAGATTCAGCAGCTTCAAAAACGCCAAGCGCTCTGGATCCTACTGCGGATGACTACTACATGGGAAATGTCTTATCAAGACATTTAAGTTACTTAGACGTAACTTCAGTTAAAAGTAACTTCCAAGTTACTTTAAATTACTGAAACTATTCAATTACTTAAAAGTAACTTAACAAACTTAAGTTATTTTAAACTTAAGTTACTTTTAACTGACCTAAACTGCAAAGTTAAAAGTAACTTTTAAGTTAAAAGTTTCTTTTAACTAACTTAAAAGTCAAGTTACTTTTAAATAACACAAATATAACAAGTTACTTTTAAGTACCTTAAATGATTTAAAAGTAAGTTAAGTTACTTTTAACTAACTTAAAAGGAGAAGTTACTTTAAGTTAATTTAGAAGCTATAAACTTTATATTAAATTATAAGTAACTAAAACGTAACAAGTTAGTAAAGTTTTCAAGTTACTTTTAAGAAAAAAGTAACTTTCAACTAATTAAAGCAATTTAAAAGTAACTTTAGTTACTTTAATCAATGTTAAGGTGACTTAAAACAAGCTCTGATATCTTTTAAGTTGTACTTGTCTTGCTTCAAGATAACTCAAATAGAAACAAGGTCAAAATTACTTGGTAACATTTAGTGTTTTTGCAGTGTACTTTATTCTGCGCTGAAAGATTAAAATCCCCCAGTTGTGTCCTAGTTCAAGTCTTACATCTTACAAGTAGCTTTTCGACAACAAAGAGCAGCTTGTTTTAAGTTTTGAATCCCTTCTTATTGATGAAAAATAAGAACGCCCCACAGTTTTCCCGCAGTTCCCCCCCCGGCCAGCTGGAGAACTCACGGTGCCTCTGAGAGCGTCCAGGTCGCAGGTCACAGCCTGGACCTGACGCCGGTATTCGTTGGCGTCCTGCTTGGCTTGGCGCAGGGCCTCTGCGTTGCGATTGGCTGCGTCTGTCAGGTCAGCAAACTGGAAGAAAAACCCAAACAGTCCAACACCGCTGCATGTTTCCACCTGTTCTCCTCGACATGATGTCGTTCTGACTGGCACAGGAAATATTCACTGAACTAAACACTCATAAAAATAATTAATTATTCACTTTAAAAACATAAGTGGACTGTTTCAAGCAAGTCAGTTTGTTTTAGTTGTTTGTTACAAAAGCAAAGAGTCAAGGAGTTTAAGCAAAACTGAATTTTGTATAAATTATTCAACATTTTTTATGAGGTGACTGAAATGTGAAAGTACAGACAACAACTAACAACCAGCCAGGAAGTAATTACAACGTCTCGTATGTTGAACTAAATATATTTGTGTAAAAACACCAACTGGAATTTTTATTGCTGATTTCACAGATTTAGTTGTGTTAAATCTACAGAATGGTGTTTTTCGGTGCAGAGGTGAGTTTCTGACCTTGGATCGGTACCACTCTTCGGTTTCGTGCATGTTGGACGTGGCCATGTTCTCATACTGAACTCTGATGTCCCTCAGAGCCGCAGTCAGATCCGGTTTGGACACGTCCAGGTCGACATGGACCTGCTGGGCCACGAGCTGGTCCTGCAGCTCCCGCAGCTCCTGGAGGAAAGGAAGGAAGGAAAGGAGGGAGGGAGGGAGAGAGGGAGGAAAAGAGGGAGGAAGGAAGGAAAGGAGGGAGGGACGGAGGGGAACAAGGATGGAAGGAAAGGAGGGAGGGAGGAAAAGATGGAGGAAAGGAGGAAATAATGGAAGGTAGGGAAAGAAGGAAGAAAGGAAGGAAGGAATGGAGGAAGGAAGGAAGGGAGGAGTTAAGACTGTCAGCCATTTTCATCCTGGTTTCTTGCTGGTCTGAATCTCGATTCTCGCCTCGTCGTGAATCTTCCTCAGGAAGTTGATCTCGTCCTGCAGAGCTTCGATCTTCCTCTCCAGCTGGACTCGACTGAGAGCCGCTTCGTCCACATCCTTCACAGAGACCCACAAAGACGGACTCAGATCACAGACGCCTGAACCTGTGGATCACCTGAACTCTGCAGCCTTACCTGCCTGAAAGTGTTCAAACTGTTTTCTGCTTCCTGACGCAGAGTCATCTCATCCTGAAGTCTGTCAGCAAAATAAAAGACAAATTTATGGCTCAGCTATAAAAAATCTGTGTAAAGAAAAGTTTTTTTAAGTTTCAAACGCTGAAAATTTGAGTTTTTTTTTCTTTTTTTAACAATAAATTATAGATTATTTATGTTTGCTTGTAAAAGAAAGGCATCCAGTTTCTCTTAGGCTCAGTAGAATAACTTTCTTTCAAAACGTTTGTTAAATTTAGCAGAAAATTTGGCTTTTCAGGAAAAGTTTCTGGATAAATGTGATTTTCTTAAAGTTTGGTTATAAAACTTTGTAAGAAAATTATATTTGTTATAATTTTATCTTGATTACAAATTAAAACTGTCCATTCTTATCTCAGGGACAAATTTGTATCATTTCTGAACTGCAGTTGGCGGCCGCACAAAATCAGCCCAACGGCCACAAATGGCCCCCACACCACACTTTGGACATCCCCCGGTCTCGATTAAACAGTGAGCTTAAATATTATGTTATCAATCAAATCATTGCAGTTTTTATCTGTTTGCTGCCAAACTAAATCAATCAGTTCCTTTTGGATTATTGTGGAAATTCATGTAAAATCAACTTTTTTGCACTGATACAAAATTGGGAGTTTATTGCAGGTTTTTTTGAAAAATTGTCAAAATCTTTCTTACTTGAACTAAACATTTCTCTCAGTCTTAACTGATGTCAGATTATAGTCCATCATTGATACAGCAAGTAATATAAAGATGCATTTGCGTGCAAATATTTCCAATTTAGAACCACAAAAAATCACCAAAAGTATCATGAAATCCTGGAGGGACTGAAAATATGTTCAATAATATTTAATTTTAAGAATTAATTAATACTTTATCAATACATTCAGGCACAACAAGCCCTTTAAGAGCTTTCATGGTCTTGATTTGATTTGTGTTTGACACTAAATGATCAAACCTGCATGTTTTAGTCAGAGAAACGTGATGTTTGAAATATTTTGATTAGACTTTCAATGGGCATTTTTTCCTGCTGCAGAGGAATAACAGGACTCAGCTGAATGGGCAGATCATGCATCATTGCACTTTCACTCTAGTCTAACACCCAGAGGCCTTTCCCACGGGATGGACTGCACACACACCCACCCCCACACCCACACACACACACACACACACCCGGACAGACCTGAACTAGGACGGACAACGCCCCACAATCCATCTGTCGCACGCAGACAGAACCGGACTCACTGAGGCTTTGCATAATATCTGTACAGCTTCATGCAGAGCCGCACAGAAGTCAGTGGGAACCTGGAACGTGACCTTTGACCCCCAGAGCGCCAGTCTTTCACAGGACGAGCAGCTGCGAGGTCAGAGGGCAGGGAGCAGATCTTCCCACCCTCAGACTTTCAATCAGCACTTAAACTGTTGAGTCCAGCATCGCATGTTATTATCACAGAGCCGGTTGTAACTAGTTACATTTACTCTATTACATTTACTTGAGTAACTTTATTTTGAAGTATTTTTACTCTTACTTGAGTCACATTTCTCTGTTTTACCCACTGAATGAAAAACAAACATGTTCAAACCAAAAATCCAGACACTCACCTGCAGTTTCTGCTAAAGTTTAATAAGTTATTTTTATTGAAAGAAACTGATTTCAAACTTTCCACAAAATGTATATTTTGATCCATCTGATCATGTAATATTTAAATATTAAATCATTGATAAGTTGAGTAAAGTTACTCGCCCTGTGCTTTGGAGAAGTGAGGCCTTAATGTTGTTGAATTAATTTGTTTACGACCAACGAGAGGAGAAGCGAACAGCCGCCTCCCTTTGTGAGGAGCCGCCATTGTGCAGCCGCTCGTTCCTCCACAGCCTCTCAAAAGCGGCGAGGGGTTCAGTCAGGCCCACGTTTAGAGAAAGGGAGTAAAGCTCCTGCTGCGCGTGTTGTTGTGCATTCCAGCGAATCGCAAGGAAAAGCACATCTCCATTTAAATGAACGGGTAAATGCAGGCAAAATTAATTAAAACTATTTTTTTGCAAAGTAAAACCTGTCGGTTTTTAATCCAATACACTGCATTTAAGTAGTTTAGAGGAAGTGCTGATGCAGAAATACGTCTATAAAATGCGAAACAACAAACACAGTTTTTTAAGAAAATGAAAATTTTTTAGGAAATTCCCATCAGTCTTACTTATAGAGAGTAAACAATGATCTAATTGTGAACAAAACTGTTTTAATATTCCTAATGATTAATGTCCAGTGCCTGAGGTTTGATCCTTTTTATCCTCATCGTTAGTTTACTCTCCTGCATGTTAATGCATTTGGGTCAATAAGACGAATCTTATCCCTTTGTAGATTGTAGAGTAAAAACATGCTGGCTGATTCAAACTCAAAAACACTTTATGGATCAGAAAGGGAAGTGAAACGTTGTTGCTCACTAATTCAGATTCTTCAGTTATTATAGACAGTGATGAATGTTGGCAGGAGAAATCTCCTGTAGCAGTCTGTGTCACAGTGAATCTGAAGAAGCCTCTGACTGAAGCCTGTTTTCCATGACGGCCTCACAACGAGGACGGTCGGGGTTTACTGTACTTGATTATAAAACTCTTCTCACATATCAATAGCTGTTACTATTATTTAATTAAAAATGATTCATTTAAAAAACAACAGATGCATAAAAGAAGAGGATTTTTCTTTCTGGGAAAGCAACTCCAGTATTTTTCCATTTGTTGAGCTTCTAAATTACAAGAAGCCCTGAATGTTATAATGCACACGACACAACTTATGTTTTCTGTCATTAACATTCGCCAAACCGCGTTTCTCGTTAGGATGTATGAAAACGTTTAATAAACTCTGCTCTATAACTAGTTTCCTGATTGCTACATTAGGCAGTCAAAGTGACTGCAGCTGGTCTTTAAATGCATATAAATCATTGAACATAGAAACTCTGTGTGGAGACACTCCTCCCACTGGAGCCCCGCCCTCCGTCGCCTTACCTTTGCTTCAGCGTGGCCAGATCGGCAGCCAGGTTGTCCCTCTCGACCTCCAGCCGGGCCTTCCCGTTGGTGAGCCCGTCCACCTGCCGCCGAAGCTCCCTGAGCTCATCCTGGTAGATGTCTCCCAGGCGGCTGGGCTCCTTCACCTTCAGCTGGTTCAGCTCCGCCACCAGCATCTTGTTCTGCTGCTCCAGCAAGCGCACCTTCTCTATGTAGCTGGCGAAGCGGTCGTTCAGGCCCATCATCTCCATCTTCTCGTTGGTGCGTATTTCTTTGTAGTGGGCCTTCATGAGGGAGTCGGCGGGGAAGTCCAGCCGGTCGCCGGGGCTCCCCAGCAGCAGGGCCGTGCTGGCAGAGCCCAGGGAGAACCTGGAAACGGGGCTGGAGAGGCTGATGGACCGCGGGGTGCCATGCCAGGAGAGGCGGTTGGAAGACAGGCTGCCGACTCTGGCGCCCGAGCCGCCCTGAGGCCCGAAACGTTTCCTGTACGAGGACTGGACCCTCTGGCTCTCCATGCTGGGGCAATAAGCTCACCCGGTGCACAAGCAGGGGTTTTATATAGGGAGTAACCCCCCTCTGGGGCGCAGGGTGGGGCGGGCGGTGAATGGGACAAAAAGAGGAGAGCAAAGGGCTGGTTGTCTGTGCTCGTCCACTCAGCTACAAATGTCTCCTGCATTTTTTTTTTTTTTTACTTCGTCCTCTCCCCCTTTTCCTCCCTCTGACTCACTCACTCTTTCAGTCCGACGATCACCCCTTTTTGCCCAACTCGCTTTCTTTCTGCTCCAAGCGAATGAAAAGGAATTTGTGCGACAGGCTCTGGCCACAAATCCAACCTGACCACACATGCTTCAAAACAGAGGGACTTTGATTAACCAAGGGGAGGGAGAGACATCATAACCATCTACAAATACAAAAACAACGATTCACAAACAAGATAGAGACAACAAATGGAAATGTGTCGTATGACAGACAAACTTCAGTCCGTTTTATTTGGATTTTATGGAATAAACCTGGACAAAATGTAAAATGGATGTGAAAATCTGAACCGGAAGTAGGGAAGTGCAAAGCACAGCAGACCCATGGATTCAATACCAACAAAACAAAATATGTGGACACTCTTGATCAATATTTACATATTGACCTCATTTCACAATACAGTTCAGTACATAACGAACACGAAGGAACCAAACAACATGGAGGAGCTCCACCTGAAATCTGTGAATGCCTACAATCGATGTTTGGTTGTAAGTGACTCTTCGTGTGAATAACGAGGTCATGGCGGGGTCACGCAGGCCGCAGGTATCGGCTAAAGGCTACGTTAGCTGAGGTGAGGTGGGCAGAGGACTCAAAGTGACGTCACATGAAAACTATGCGTAACATCCAAGCCTTTATTCAGATCCTAAATAAATAAGAACCTATGCAAACAACCAGATGTAGAAGTCACTCAGCTTTTAAATATAATTAACTGTGATTTAATGAAATGTCAGTAAAAAACTGATGGATATCAAAAAAAAAAAAAAAAAAAAAAAAAAAGACTGCTCAGTCTGGGATTTCTCCCATTGAAGTGGATTCATCTGGCAGGATTTCAATCAACGAACAGCTGCAAAACAGAGGGACTTTGATGTGAAAGTTGATTTTCTGTCGGGTAAAGTTAAAACCCTCAGAGCTCTGCGAACGAAGCAAAGCGAAGAGCAAGGGATCGGCTCTCATCAGGCAGCCGGAGGTAAAGCTCACAGGTTTTATAGTTGATCCGTTGAACGACACACTGAGGAAAATCCAGACCTAAATCCAAGCCTAAAATCTGCTGCAAACCTTCGAAATCGCTGTTCAGATTCTAAAAACAGACTCAGGTTTTTACTGGGGTTTCCAAACTAACCAACCATGTTGGTGGAACATTTTTTATATTCAGGCAGAGAGAGAAAGAAAGCAGCAGGTTTTTAGGTGTCTGGTCTTTGTGTGTGAAGTTATTAGACGTCCTGATGGATGGCGACGCGTAAGGAGGAAAGGTTCGCGGAGTGCAAACCCAATCTGAGCTTCAGATTGACGAACTGAGGCTGCGTTACGATCCGCCGCTCTCCCGCTGCCTGGGCGACCAGAGGGCTCAGCTTCTGCAAATCTTCTGCAAATCTTCTCCTTTCGCCTTTTTCTTCCACAGGAAAATTTAAGATGAGATTAAATCGCTAACGTCCCTCAACACAAAACCAGAAAATTAAACACAAGAAATGTTGGTGAAAACAGAGAGTGTTTATCAGACGTCTTTTCTTTCTCTTTTAATAAATGCCTTCAATTCTTGTTTGTTCACAAAATTCATCCCAGTTAAAATTACATGATAATTTTTTTCCTCTTTCAATAAATGATTAAACATTTTATTTACATTGGGTCCAAATATGCAAAAGATTCCAAAGATTATTTAAGTTAAAATTAAATGGTAACTGTGGATAATTTAGTTCTCTTTCAATAAATGCTATTAGGAAAAGCAGAAAAGTTTTTATTGTTTTGGGTCTAAATACACAAAATAAGTTTCCAAAGTTCATCCAAGTTAAAATTAATTATTGGTAAATTATGTCTCTTTAAATAAATGTCATTAGGAAAAGTTGCTTGTGACCTTTTGTTTAAATATGCAAAATAAGTTTCCAAAGATCAGTGAAGTTAAAATTAAATAACTTTCTAATCATCTAAATTAAATTTAAATGGTAATTTTTTCACTCTATTTCAATAAATGCCTTTAGGAAAAGTGGCTAAATTCTTTTTGCATTTCGACTAAATAAAGGAAGTTTGCAGATTTCACATAAATTAAAGTGGTAGCTCTTGATGCTTCTGAGGAACTTCCTGCACAATAATAATAACAAACAATTAATCCTGCATGGTTATATTTGCAGAAACTGCTGTTTTGCTGCAAGCAGTAGAGCAACAAAAAGGATTTGTTTGGGTCATAAAGTCCCTGCCATTGTTTCTGGGAGCCAGTGAATAAAGCCTCCTTTCATTTTACTATCTGGCCTGCAGCGTTGATCCTGTAGAAGAAGAAAAACAGCACAGTGTCTTGAATCCCAATTGGTTTCTGTTAACAGAGGTTAAACAAGATGGCACAGTAAGTCTGGCAGAGATTTGTTGACTTAAAAGGCTCCATCTCCAAGGATTAACGGCGCGGTTGCATCATCTCGCCGACACTAATTGTTTCGGCTCAGTGGATTTTTCAGACAATCGCGGCTGTTGCCTTAGATTTGGTCACTGAGGTAATTTCTCCTGATAATTAAGCATCCAAACAGTCTGGAGCTTCCTCTGATTCCTGGAAGATGGAGTCGCAAAGAGGGACAAACAGCTGACTGATGTTTTCGTTTTAGGAGGAAATCATCTCTTTAGTTGGACAATAATATAGAAATAGCATTTATTGTCCCATATAATGGAGAATGAATTAATGCTGAACTGATGGAATCGATGCATTTATAATTGAAGTCTCTTATTGTTTTTATTCATAATTTAGTTTCAATATTACTGAAATTGTTTGCGTGGTAATTTTATTCTTATTTATTTGTTTTTTCGTAACGTTCAAACGGTTGTTTTGAATTGTGGGTTTAATTTATAATATTCAAAATATTACATTTGACATTTAATATATTTAAAAAAAAAAGTAAAATGTACATTTAATACATTTTACTTTTAATATTTTAACTTTTACATTTTGATAGCCTGTACATTATATGTACAGACTTTTTACAATGTGGTAAATCAGTGCAGAAAAACAGAAACAGAAAACTACGGCGTGACATCGAAGGCCTGATATGAAAAGCAAGCGGGTTTAACTGGATCGGACGGGCCAGCTGCATGACTCAGCACCAGCAGGTCCAAACGGGGCGCAGCCACAAAGAGGCTGCAGGGAGCCCGGTTCGGCCCAAAGTCTGCCTGTCAGCAGGAATGTGCCGCTCAGACAGACCGGCATACCGGACCCCAGCATCACGCTACCAACAGAACTCAAACTACAGCTGGAAAACTGCATAAAAACAAATTCAACACAATATGGTTAAAAGATAAAAGTTATTTTATCATTTATATGCAAAGTTCCCACGAGTCTGCAAGCACCTTAAGCACGATGCAGAGAACCAACGAAAAGGAAATATGTGAACTCTCTTTAACCAAGAGAAAGATTCATGAACAAAATGGCTGCTGGCGGATCGAATACAGATATGGAGAAAATGAAGAGATCATTTAAGATGATCAGTTTCTCTGGTTTTACTCTTTACAGGTTTATGTTTGAGTAAAATGAACATTGTTCTTTGAAGAACTACTGACAACACGCCTCTGAAATTACAAGGAAAGATTCAGTATTTATTTGGTCAAAATAAAAAACACAAAAATAACGAAACAGGTTCATATTAATTTAGAAATAATACTAATGTTTTAACTCCGGAGGAAAGGGGAACTGAACAACCCTGCAGGGATTACGACGCGGCTCTGTGGGTTTGGATGGAAAGTTTCTGATGCATTAATTTGATTTTTACTGAGAAGTAAACAATCATAATCAATAAATATGAACAGGTTCTGATGAGGCTCATTTGCCAGATTAAACAGTATTTTTCAAAATAAAAATAAAAGCCTTTAACAAACACAAATGTTTCACGAAGTCACATTTTGAAATGTTGGTGTGATTTAACATTCTAATCTTAAATGCTGTGTTGTGATTGCTATAAGTGATCAATGTGTTGCTGAAATTGATTAATTTTTCATCTATAGTCTCATTTTTTCACAGACAGTAAAACAAAAATAATTACATCTTTGTTTTAGTAATTATTTAAATTTTTGACCAGTTCCACCTCAAACCATTTCACACAGGAATATATGGACATTTATATATTTTCTATTCAGCAGCCATTTTGTTCCAAAGCACCATAAATTTGAACTGGAACTGAAATTTATATCATTAAATGCAATGCAGGAAACAGTAGAAGCTATAAACTTCACATCATTTTCACTGAGCTCTTGTTCCTTTTTTTTAATTTCTTCTGGCTATTAATAAACTGGTATAATCTGTTAATCTCTATAGTTGTTTAAAAATGAACTCTGACAGATTGAATTACGGTTGAGATGAAGCGTCTCTTTGTTTTCTCCACACACAGCCAGACACGGCCATACAAATTTCTTCTTCCTGTTTCACGGGTGAAGAGAGAGAGGAAGAAAAGAAACGGTGCATCCATCAAGCAGAACTCAGTCCCTTTGTATCCTGTTTACTTTTCAGTCTGAATGTTGAGATTCATTAAAAAAATAAAAACAAAAGCAACAAATTCTTTTTTTTAAATGTATTTGTTTTGGAGCGAAGTCATGACATCTACATATACATTCAAAAAACAAAACGTTTTAGCAGTAAAATAGGTTTGATACGTTCGACTTTGCACTGCAAGTCTTGTCATAAAACATTACATATTTAACATTTGGATATGTAGAAACATTTCTAACAACTAGCTTGTTTTCCTTTGCCTGTCCCAGGGTTCCTCCTTAAATAAAACACTCATTTTAAACATTAAACATTATTTAGCTGCCTTTAATGTGTAGCAGCCCCATTTATACCTATATGTTTGCTGTTATTAGTCCATAACTGAAAGCTGGACATGTCATCTGAACCCTGGGGAAAACAAAGTCGTCATGGGGGATGGAGAGCGAAATCTGGCGTCCAGCGACGGCTCTGCACCAGGTCGTCTTCGGCTCGCTAACACATTGCATTAACTCACATCTTAAATGAGACCAGATGAGTTTTCATTGCATGTGACAAAGCAGGAGCAGAGACAAACTTAGGAATGTTTCCACGACTGATTTATAGATTATGTGGTGACTGACTGGTCCGAGACAAGCTAACACTTTTCTATGTGCAAATCAATCTTAGCTATTTGCAGGAACCAGAGGATGTAGAGAGACGCATAAAACTGATTAGTAACAGACAACATGTTGAGAAACGTCTGCAGTTCATTCAGGCTGTAAGACGGTGAGAGAGAGCAAGACAAAGGAACCCTGAATGTGATTCAGCCAAGTTTGGCTAGATTACGTTTAACTAGATTAAACCAATTTTTGAATGAATTACACTGTTTGGCTAAAAGACTTAGCATAACTTAGCTTATTAAGCTAAATCTGGCTAAATTACGTTAAGTTTGGCTGAGATCCGCTTAGCTAAATTGCTATGCTAAGTTTAGATGAATTACATCTTGCTAACTTTTGCCAAGTCTGGTTAAATCACGTTCAGGAAGCCATAATGTAATTTAGCCAAGTTTGTGTTTCATACTTTCCTTTTTATCTCTCAGGAGTTAAGATAAGGCAATAAAACATTCTCTGGTGAATATACAAGAAAACGCAAAAAGAGTTAGCTTTGCTAACTCTTTTAAACATAAGATGGAAAATGCGATTTAAAATGTATTTTAAATCGTAATGGTAGTGTCTTTGTTTTAAAAGAAATAATTGCTCTTAACCACAAAGTATGACAAAAGTTCTAACAAAAATATGAAGGAGTCCTGGTATTCGAGACAGCAGCAAATAGCTAAAATCAGCAAATACTTGAGTCAAATTTCAATACTGCAAACACCAAACGTGTGTTAATACACACAGTGGAAAATGTTTTAGGACCAACAGGAGTTAGCGTCTACAGTCTTCAAGTACGACCAATCAGCAACAAGGACAACAAAAGCTGCTCCTGGATTGGCTGCTTTAAAAGCGCTAACAAATAGCAAGTCAAGTAGCATCGCACCAAGGTGTTTCAGTTTTCTTCTACAAATTCTGAGTAGGTGGATTTTCCACTAATAAATAAGGGCAACATTCCACAGAAAAACCCACAAACAGGCAGATAAAACTTGATCCGTTTGGCTAAAATCAAGAAAATCTGAGTTTGTGGTTTAATTTGTTGAAGTGGAGTTTGAGCCAGGCAGCCAGACTTCGTTCTCCCCCGTCTCTAAACTACAACATGCGTTTCTGAAATGTCTGCAAAACCAGCTGCTTTCTACGACTTCAGTTCAGCAAAACTAAAAGTATCAACAGATTTGATACAGTCGAAATATAAAAATAGATATTTATAGATATGTGTATTTCCTTACAATAATCATACTTAGATGTCATGGGGCTATAAATAAAGAAAAATTCACATTTGAAATGAAAAACATTAACAAAAAGAAAATATTGAAATCAGCCCCACAAAATCTAGTTATCAAAAAAATAAAAGTGCATCTGATTGAAAATGATCCTAAATTGAGGATTATCGGTCAACGACGTCTAGACCAGACACGCAATTTAGACAAAAATAAAAACAATTATTTAAGGCTTTTTAGTTTCTAAAAATCTAGAAGTATATTTTTGTTCTTTATTTTGGCACTTGGTCAGAGAGATCATAAATAAAAATGGCTTTTTGTGAAATTTGTTGTAATTTCAATCTACAAACTGTAACTGCTGAAAAACTGAACATATTTAATCTATAAAATATTAAAAGTCTGTTTCAGTAGGATAAAAAAATTCGTAAAAGTGTTGAAATTTTTTTTAAAAACAGGATCTTATTTATAATGAATAAAACAAGCTTGTCAAGCAAGATGGCGGCGGGATGACATCACCCGTAACTATAGGAACCAAAGGAGCAAATTGGTTGGTAGAAAAAAATTCCATGTTAACAAAAAAATGGATACAATGCAAAATATCAAACTAAAAAACACAAATATGGTGAAAGTAGAAAAAAATAATTTGGAGTCAATTAGATTTAATAAAACTGGTGGTCAGTGTGAACTGAGAACACCACTGTAAATAAAAACTGTAAAATAATTCACAGCAAAGAATTTCAGAAATTTTCTGAGATTAAAAACTCAAAAATTTGCTGAAGTCTAGATTTTCTAGAAAATTTCTGAAATTTCTAGCAAATTTTTGACTTTTCAAAATCAAATTTAAGATTTTTTTCTAGCAAATTTCCAAGTTTTATTCACTACTTATGTTTTTTTCTGAATAATAAAACTAACTCAGGAAGAGCTTATACATTTTTAGAAGTGTGCAAACTTGTTTTTTTATTAAATGTTTTAACAAATTTGTGTCAATATTTGTTTTTTAGTTGAATTATCCAGGAGATGCTTCACATTAAAAGTTGAAACATTTATTTAATAAAAACCACAGCATTAAACAGATGTAGTGAGCGCCGCTGTGTATTCGCTACATTTCAAATTAAGAGCTTTTCTAAAATAAAAATACTTTTTAAAAATTATTTTTAACTTAACTTTAAGGCATCATTTTCTGAAATTACTCTTATTAGGTCAAAAAATAAAGAATACTTTTAAAAATAAATATTTGATTGAAATTGATGTTGATCTTGCAACTTTTAAAAAAATACAGCTATAAGTGACGCAACAATTTGAGGGCTTATAAAAGGGTTTAGGTCTACAGAAATGTAATAATAATAATATTAATTCATAGAATTAATAAATGGTCCCACTAGCTTTGGCACATGACACCTTATTCAGGACATTAACAAAAAGAGCTTATTGGATTTAATACCTCAGTGTGTTTTGATCTGAAGAGGCTGAAAACAGGAAAGAAGCTTAAAGAATCGTCTGAATGTTTCTGTTTTTGTAGAAAAGCTCTTTGGCACAGTTACAGTTCATGCATTTTTTAACTTATAACTGCAGAAGAAATGAATGTAAACATGAACCGTGACTTGATAATGCTTCCTCTGAAGTGAGTTTTGTGTTGGGTTAAGCAGCCTGGTGGGTAAATATTTGGTGCCCCCTTGTGGAAACTCCTGGAACAGCAGCGCTGGAACTGAGAACAGACTTTTATGTTTAGGAGTTCCTCCGTGTGAAGCCTGGGTCTCCTTTGGAAGCATATGATGGTGTGTAATAATGGTGTGACGCTCAGTGAGGCGCAGTCAGTCTTACTCAGCACTGGATCTGGGAGAACGGATGCCTCAGCAGCTCCTCGGCGCTCGGCCGGAGTTTGGCCTCCACGAAGATGCAGCGGATGAAGTCCCGGGCCTGGTCCGAGGCGCGCGGCGGGAGCAGCGGGTTGGTCGGCTGCGTGGCGATCTTAAATATCGCCGCCATGGCTTCAAACTCGGCCCACGGCGGCTTTTCTGTGAGCATCTCAACCACAGTGCAGCCGAGGCTCCTGCAGGAAAAACATTTTTACGGCCTAACAAGCTGCAACAAGGATCGCATGTTTCATTGAAATACCACAAAACCATAACAATGTTATGAAGGAATGCTGATGGGCCTCTGGGGAGAATACCGGATCTGTAATGACCTGTTTGACTGGCAATAAGTGGATCAAATTGCAGAACGGCAAACTATTCATACCAAATTAATATATCCCAGCATAAGGGATATTTAACAGCTGCATAACTGTGTTCATTCCACCATTTCAGAAACTGGTGCATTTTTAGTGTGACGATGTCACTCTGCTTTGGAGAGAAACCAAACTGAACATCTTACCAGACGTCAGCTTTCCTGCCGTATCCCTCGCCGCTGATCACCTCGGGACTCATCCAGTAGGGGGTGCCGGTCACAGAGCGGATGCCGGTTCCAGACATGCAGATCGTCTGCAGCCTCTTGCTGGCTCCAAAGTCTCCCAGCTTCACGTTTCCCGCTGAATCCCGCAGGATGTTGGCTCCTGGCAGCAACAGTTTATCAAATCAGCCCCATTTCTGACTGATGTAAAACCGAAATCTGTGTTTGCAAACTACCTTTGATGTCTCTGTGCACGATCATGTTACTATGCAGGTAGGACATGCCCTCCAGAATCTGTCTAGTATATTTGCGGGTGACGTTTTCTGTCAGGGCCCCATAAGCCTTCAGCTGATCTTTGACTGAACCCTAAAGGAGAAGAAAACATTGTTTAAAGACGACATTGTCTATTAATTCACTGAACATGGACGGAAAAATCACTGACCAGTTAAAATAATTGTTAGCAGCAGTGCAGCAGAAATGTCGGCACATCTTTACCACTTGGCATTTTGTTGCATTTCAACCACATTTTTGACACTTTGCTGGGATTATTACAAAGTTTTGAAAACCGGTTTCCTCTTTAATATTAATAATCAGCAGTTATTAACCAGAAAGATATGTTGACTAAACACTAATCCACTAAACAAGAATCTTAGCTTTGCTAGGGCTAAACCGCTAAACACAAAGAAATTAGCACAAGCTCATGTTACATTTATAAAGACATGAAAAAATGAGCAACAGCTAACACAAAGCTGATACAGATGTTAATAAAATATAAAAGCGAACATTAAACCACTAAGGCATAAAAGATTTAGCAGAAGCTAATGCTAAACCTCTAAACACATAAATAGGTAGCAGACATTGATGTTAAATTGCAAACCTAACATTGCTTTAATTCAAATTATACGTTGTGAATTCTGTCGCTGCTTACAAATTTTTATTACAATGTGACTTAACGCTGACATTAAAGCTTAATTTTAAGCTGCAAAATGAATGGTTGCTTCTGACCCCAATGTAAACTCTGATTTATTTGCCCCAGGACTCACCCCGGGCATGTACTCCATGAAGATGGTGAGAGTTTTCTCGTTGTGGTCCCTCAGACAGCCGTAGTACTGCACGATGCGCTCGTGATGCAGATTTTTTAGAAGCTGGATTTCACACTCCAATGCACTAACTTCCTGCAGGAAACGCAAAAATAAACAAAAATCCCACATTACCAATCACAAAGACACTTTCAATTTGAGAATAAAAGTTTATTGGACAGACCCAGCGACCTGGAATGGAAGAGGGAAGCTAAAATATTTTCAATCCCAACCAAACGCTTGGACAGAGAGCCGACAGCAGAGTCTTCCTGTGTTTACCTCTGAGAATGAGGCCACAGCAGAGACAGAGGACAGAAAGGGAAGTCGGAGACACACAAAGTAATCCCAAACTCCCAACACACAGCCCAGTTTGGAGTAACGACTGATTCGGATCTGCAGAGAGCCGGGCGGAGGGGGTGGGGGTGTAAAAGGGTCACTGGAGGTCAAGGCAGTCCTCACCCTTCGCTGTTACAATACTCAGCACCTCGAGGATACAGGAAGTGACAATGCATGTTTTCTCTTCGGCAAACAGGAAAAGACATTAAAATAAGGAAGAGGGGGGAGATAATCTCCACCATGGATTCCGCTCATTCAGTTTCTGCTGCGCTATTCTTAATTAGGAGATAAAATAAAGTCACAGCCTTTAGCTTAAATTACATTTTCAGTCGCCTTACTTTAGCGGTTATCTCACCTTGCTGGTTTCAGGACTTTCAGGATCAAACTGGACTTGCTTGGCGGCCAGTTCTCTCCCAGTGTCCACATCGTAGCAGAGGTAGACCTGACCAAACGCACCCTGGCCTAAAAGCTTCCCGCGGCGCCACGTCACCGGGGCGCTGGGCGCTGAGAGGAAACACAAACATCCATTCGACATTTACACAGATGCTTCAATTAGGACACATTTGTCCCCTTTCAGGGTGATCTATTGAGCTTTGGATAGGTCTCCTTAAGGGGTGTTCAAAGTGTGGCGCAGGGGCCATTTGTGGCACTTGGACAGAGTTTTTGCGGCCCAAAAGAGCAGTTAAAGATGATATAAACTTAGCCCATTCACCACAGTTGGTTCGGAAAACTTTATTTTTACAATGGAAAATGTTAAGTATGATAAAGTGTTTTCATTTTCTTGGCCTGCAAATACTTTTGACTCCATGATTTCGATCCTCATGACATGAGGTTTGGACACTCCTGGAATAATCAAAACATGTTCATTAGAATTTTTTCTCAAAATTGATTCGAGATCATGAGATTTTAGTCGGGTCAGCTCCGCCCATTTTGACTTCCTTTCAGAATGAGATTTGGTTCACAATACATTATTGCTTAAACGATTAATCAGATTAATGGTGATTAATTGATTATTCAAATATTCACCAAATAATCTAGAAAAGGTTTAATCAATAACTGGACTAAATGAACTCAAAAAAGGGCATTTGCTGAGAAAACAACTTATTCAGAGCAGCAACTAAGAAAAAACTAAATGATTATAAACATATATGCATATAATACATTTAACATAAAAAGACTTTTGTCAATATGTTGTAACCAAATGTACAAAACAAAAGCCATATTATAGTCGGTTTATTTTCTATTTAAAGTTTAAAATGTTATTCTTTTCATCTTTTGGTGGATTTTTTTATATTGTACTAAAAAAGCTTAAACAGTTAAATAAAAATTCTGTAAAATGTGCCAATTTTTTTTATCTGATTAATCGATTAATCATCAGAATAACTGAGCTCTAAACTAATACTTCAAATAATCTCTAGATAATAAGAGAAAACAAATGTGTTTAACAAGTTAAGTAGATCGTTATCATTCTGCTGGTAGATTAAGATTAAAATCCAAACCAGAGGATATTTCATCAGCACTCACACTTGTGGGCGACAGAGCGATCGTGTGGACGCAGCCGGCCTTGCGTGTCGATCTGCTGCCAGCTGCCCAGACTCTCCTCGCTGCCGTTCAGCGATCGCCTGGAGGGAACCAAAGTGAACAGGTTTCCCTGGGGGCGACGAATTCGTGGAAACGTTCGACGACCTGGAGGAAGCGGCAGAAAACAGAAAATGATTGATGACGTTGAAATAAAGAAAACCATCGTATCCAGTCGCTGATAAATGTGGCTGGCGGTATTTGTCACACCTTCACTGTGGTCTTTGCAGTGCAGGGAGACGTGATACCGACGAGGATAGGTGCCTCCCTTCCCTGCTACCCTTTCATACACGTGATTCTCCCGGTCTGAATACAAACAAAAGATTCACAGATCATCAAACCACTTTCAAGAATCCATCCATTTTCTAGCACCCTTGCTATAAAAATATGTTGAAGTGGTGCTACTCTTACTCGAGCGTCGTCTCTCACCTGAGACTTCCTGCCGGTTGTCTGGGTAACTCTTGGCTCTGTGCATGCGAGACTTCCTCAGCGAAGAGCTGCAGAAGAATGAAAGGTTTTGCAAATAAAAATCAGTTGATAATTGCAGAAATGTGCTAGAAAAAGGAGTAAAATTAGATGGAGCATGGTTGAGATTATATTTTGATTTAATAGGCATTTTGCTTCTTACCTTTCTGAGTTGCTGTCCAGGGACTGACAGCTGCCAGAAACTGAATTTTCTGCGCTGCTCCAAGGATCCAGCACCTGTTCAGACCAAAACGAAAACCCATATGGACACACTGAGAGTTTTTGCAGTTTTACAAAATATATCTAGTGCTGTCTCACTTTGTAACTTTACTATGAATGTTTTAGAGCTGAGGATTAATCAATGAATCACAAAAAATTGGCACTCCGTATAGATTATTCATCTAACTACTTAAGTTATTTTTGTACAATATTAAAAAATGATGCAAATAAATTCATATTTAAACAAGAAACTAAACATTTTATTGAGCATTTCTTTAGTCAAATTGAAGCCAAGTCAGTACAACTTCAGGAGTTTTTATCTTTAATGAAATATGTATATATCTGCTGTTCAGTTTTGGTTTGATTACTAAGGTCAGTTGCAATAATCAATAATTCTCAAGACAAATTAAAACAAGCTCAATCATTTTTATTTGCACAATTTATTGTTTTTTTTCTTTTTCTCTTTCTACCAAAAAATTGGATCGTAAATGTTTTTAGTTTGGTGTTTTGGTCTAAATTTGTTTTTGAAGAATAATTTTGTTTACAGAGACTTTATAATTCATTGAGTCATTCCTGTTATATTTTTCGTTTTATTATTTATTTTGGATATTTAAAGTGTCTTTCCGTTCCAGTGTTAAATGTTCATTAGAATATTAAGTTTATTAATATTTTAGAACCTGTTCTTGAATTATTACTATGCATTATTTCACTTAAAATGGTCTCAAACAACAAATTATTGTTTATCACAATAACTTCTGGAACAATTTATCATCCAGCAGAATTACTCTTACTATTTTAATAATATATGTGGATTCTTTATACTTTTCTTGTAATATTTTTCTTTTCATCAACTTATTTTAATATCGTTTTTGTAGAGCACTCTGATGCTCTACAGTTTTAAACTTGTTTTTAAAGTGCTATATAAATAAATTTGACATTGAGAATTTGTTATTGATTACTGTTCTAAATATGTTAGTTTTGCAGCAAACAGCTTTTTAGTGCATAGTCCAGTTAACAATTAATAAATTCACTGTTTCAGCTCTGGAAAGTTGAAATAAGTACAATCATTACTATTTTCTGCAGGGACAGGCTATGAATTGCACACTGCTGGTGCAACAGAAAGGCAAAATGTCCCTCCTGTTTCCTCTTAGGCAAGTTTATTCTTGTGAAGTAATGCAATTTAGAAACAAAAAGTTATTTTCCTCACATTACCAAGTCCTGCTCTAATGAGAAAACACACTTAAGGCTGTTTATGTTAGCAGAGTGGAGCAGAGCATGTGGGTCCCGTCTCTGCGTGCGTTTCTTTCTTAAACATGGAGGAGATGACTCACGCATTGGTCGCTGGTTTCTGGGATGAACTCCCCTTCGCTGTTGATGCTGGTGTAGGAACCCTGGCGGGCGATCCTCTGCTGGCGCTCAGGAACATATCCAGGAGGCGGCGAACTTCGACCCGTGTTCTGAGAACCTTTAATTACACACACAAAAAAAAGCAACACAAACTGGATTGTCATCTCTGTTTCACTTTGTATTTTTAGCCCAGGGCTACAGAAAGTCATTGTTTACCAGTAAGGAGTATTAATATAAAAACGGTGTGACCTCATCCGTTATTCCCCAACTTATTTCATTTATTTGCAAATTTTTCTGATAAGTATGTGACCATTTTCCAGCAATCATTAAGGCAAAATTCATACCTGAGCAACGTAAGTTACTCCAACGAGATCTCAGACAAAAAATTGATTAACATAAAAAATGGAGCAAATCTTTCAAAATGCATGCAGATGCATAACAAATCCTAAAATGATACCTTTCAGATGGATCTGAAATGATTTATCAGATTAATCGTCAACTAATTCAGTAATTGATTAATTGTTAAATGGAGAATAGAAACTGAAAAAAGGCCTTAAAGCATCTTAAAAGATGCATACACTTTGCACATCTGGATTGCTTTTAATTTTTTAAGTCTTAAAATGCTAACTTTTAGATAGGGCTGAAATGATTAATCATGAGTAATCGTCAACTATTTTAGCAATTGATTAATTCTTAACTGGAAAATAAAGACTCAAAATAGGTCATTTGCTGAAAAACCTTCATATTTAGAGCAGTTTTTAAGCCAAATCTAGTCAAATGTAAATATGCATTTCAGACAAAAACATCTTTGTCTTTAATTATCCAAAACTCCTCAAGTGGCATTTAACCTTCACTCAGTTCAAATTCACAAAGAATGTTGTTATAGCATTTCAGTTAATTTGCATTTTTTAATATATTTAAAATATTTTATTAAAAAGTTTTAAGTGGTTGAAAAACAAATCGGTAGAAAGTGCCAATTTTTATACAATTGTCAAAATTGTCCTTCTTTTGGACACTGTTCCTTTGCAGCATAGTGTTAATCGGACATAACACTTCTTTATCTTACAATATAAAACAGTTACATGAAAATTTGTAAAAATTATCAAAAAAAAAAAAAAAAAAAAAAAAAAACAGCTAAAGAACTTTTAAAAAACCTGGAGAACTGCTAATGAAGGCCAGTTCAAAAGATTAGAAGAAGGTCTGATTTCTCAGAACAACAACTATAAACAGAGGTAGTTTAATCCATGTAAACAGGCGGTTCTTTTAAAACGCTACAAATTAAGTTTTCTCCTCTGAAGTTCAAAGCCCAAAGCAAACATGCAGCAGATTAGACTCCATACACAACACATTAAGCTTTCATAGCTGCTGCTGCTGCTATAAAGTCAAGCTGTAATGCCCTTTTGCTCCTCGGGATAAAAAGAAACCGCCAAACCAGACCGCATGCCAACGAAGTAATAGCACTCTCCCGTCTTATTGGCTGCAATCCAGCAGGCAAGTGATGGTGAAAAGGAAAAGGAAGAGGATGCAATGCAAGGAAGGGAAGAAGAAAAAAAAAAAAAAAAAAAAAAAGAAGTCGGTTCAGAAGAAACGAAAGCACCCACTACCTGTTTGCAAATATAGGCCCAGTGCGCATTAATGTTTACATCTGGAAATTTTGCACAGCACTGGAGGGCAAACAGACGATTCTTTCACTGTGCATGTAAAATAATCACCTCCTCTGCTGATGTTTACTAAATAAAACCTGCAGATGTTGGTATTATTTTAGTGCAAAACACCACAGAACACAGAAAAACTGTTGAAGAACAACTCAAACCCACTTTCTTCTCCCTCTGCGGCTAATCTGCACGCAGACTAGTTCCCATAGCGACATGCCACTTTCTATGAGGTTCAAACACCAAAAAACAAGGAAACATTTCCAACAGACAGAACAGAACATCCCTTACAGTTTTATGTTTTTAGGCTTGATGTTTATTTTGTGATTATTAATAACTGATCTGTGTGGTAGATTAGCTGCTGCTGCTATTGGCTAATCTAAGACTGCGGTGGTAGATTAGCTAATCGAAACACTTTCTCTCCTGATGATCTGTCAGAGTTGGTGTGTGGGTCGTCTGTTTTTTATTTTGGAACTGAACCGTAACACGCAGTGTTCTGCAGCACATCTACATGTTGAGGATGTAAAGTCAAGCTAACTTAACTGACCTCGAAATTTTTTTTTCTCAATTAAAACTTTTCCTGACCTTTTATCTAGTCGTAGTAGTGCTGATAATTAGTAGCAAAGCACTGCGTCCGTTTTTCTGTTAGATATTACGTGTGCATTGAAGATTTTGTGCGATAAATTGATGACAGCTAAAACCAATGCTCGTCATCGAGGCAGCGTTTTGTTCTAGGGAGATGGAGGCGCTGAAAGGGATATACAGTCCTCAGACAATCTGGGATGCAAAAGAAAAGCTGATTTGTGATCAGTTTACCTGTTGATAGGTGGCGCCCTCTGGGTTCGGAGGGCTGGTACGCCGTACTGACGTCTCCGGTGGAGTGGGAGGCCTTGATCCTCACCTGCTTACACGGTACATGATGAGAGTTGGAGGAGGCCTGCAGCCACGAGGAGGAGAGACGAAATGTTTTAACCAATGTTCTTAAACTGGGTCATGCGTGAAAGCATGTCGGTGTTGCGTGAAAATAATCAGGCAGCTTTGGGTCTTACGTTGCTGCGCTCTTGAGAAAGAAGCATTATCCTGATGCTTTTCATGCTGGAGCTTCTGTCGAGCAGGTCGATCGCCTTGTCCAGGTCGTCCTGACCTCGCAAAGGAATGGACATCTGTTTGGAGACAATCAGGAAAATAAGCAGCGACAGCAGGAGCAATGGTTTTAAAATGCTCAAATGTGAAGTAAGCCAATTAAGACAGAACAAAAATGCATGTAATCACGTAAAAATAGATAGAGATAAATATATCTGAGCTCATTTCAAGCCACTGGAATCTTAAAATAAAATTAAAGTTCAAATTTTAAACAGCACTGAACATATTTCATTGGAAAATAACCTTTACATTTTATAGGATACTAACTTACACTGGAAATAATTGTTCTACGAACTGTGACCATTTATTTTTCGCTCCTGTCTCTTTATTTTATTCATTTTCTTTTTTTGTCTTCTTGTCCTTCTTTCCTCATTCTATGTAATTTTTGTCTATAATCTAAAAAACGCTTTTCCTCTATTAATTGATCTATTGTACCTATAAACTCACCTGCCTCTTCCAGATAATTTATTAATTTGATTGTTATCACAATTATGAGTCAATTATTATTTACATTTTTTATCCACTGATGTTCACTGACTAGAATTCAAAATCAGAATTATGAGATTAAAGTCAATTTTTTGAAAATAAAAATTTTATTTTCCAGTGGCCCTAAACCCCTTCATACACATCACTTATTTTCTTCTTCATTAGCTTTGTATCTTCTACTTTGATGTACAATAAATAAATAGTTTAAAACCACGCAGAAACAAAACAGGCTTAATTTTTTAAACCCAACCATTAAATAAACTGTCTTAATAAAGGAGGCAGGACTTCCTTTTGTGAGTCTTTTCAAAAACGGAAGTATTTTGAGCAAACTTCCAGAAAACTGCAACACAGCTAAAACACTGAGTTCCTTTAAATCAAGGCTAAAACTCACCAGGTTAGAGCTGCCAATTGATTAACGTATTGATCAATATATTGGATGTATTTTCTTCATCATTTTAGCAAAATGTAATATTTATTGATTGTTTAATAATCAATAACTGTGTGATGTTTCAATGATGTAAAGCATTTTGAACTTTCTTGTTTCTGAAATACCCCAAACAAATAAACTATTCATCTGTGTTTGATCAAATTTTATATATTGTTTTTTCACCAATATTAATAAAACTGTAATTCTTAATATTGATCATATTTTAACACAAAAATGTTTATGTGTAACTGGAATATGCAATAGAAATAGAACTTTAATATAATTAACATGATCCCATAGAATATTCCTATTTTGCACAATACTAAACCTAAATTAAATGTTCCTAAATCACTTGAGTTTTGTGTTGTATTATCAGTGCAACCTTTAAAAATGTCAAAATGTGTGTGTTATTGCTGTGTGAAAAATGTTAAACTTACCTCATTGTTCATATAATGGAGCTCCAGCTGCTGGCCAAAGACGCTCTTCACCTTTTCCTGAATCTCCTCAAACTGCACTGGCCTCCCAAACACCAAGATCCTGCACAGAAAAAGCAAGAAATCACACAGACAGGAAGACTCTAACAGATTTATGCCAGCTGGTAGGAAAACAACGCTTGACTTACATGCACATGTGCAAAGAAAATACCTTTTTTTTTTTTTTCCCCGGTGTGTGCAAATTCTTCTAAGTACACCTTAAATATTTGTGGCTTGTGTTGGCAACCACATGCTAACCACAGTACTTTCCCTTCCACTCTCCAGCTCACATACCTTTCAGATTAAAGTGCTGGAGTTCTCCGTCTCATGAACGGGAACACGTGACAAGAGCAGCATGCCGACGGGAATGTGTTTACGTTCACGCTCTCCCTCTCACCAAAGTATAGAAATATATTCCACTTTCTGGACATGTGCAGAGCTGCTAATGCATAGCTACAAATAGAAGGCAACATAAACTCACCTTTTCTCTCCTGAGTATTCAAACTTTATCCTGACATCATCCTAGAAGAAGAAGAAGGAAAAAAAGAACAGTAAGGTCAAGGAGTTCTTTTCTTTCCTTCAGCATTTACAAGAACCCACTTCCACTCTTTCCACTAATTGCTAAAGTTATTGGGATGACGGACATTTATCTTTCCGTGGACAACACAAATGTTGTGTTTGCATTTCAGTGATATATTAATCAGCCTTTCTGAAGCAGGAGTTTGGAGAGGTTATTGGTAAATCTAAATAGAAAGCAGGAGTCTGTGTTTGCTTAGGTTACCTTGCACTGGAAGCAGACAGATAAAAAGGTAACAAACTACAACTGACAGCCTCTACGAAGCTAAAATCCTTCATTACAAACATAAAACTGCAAAGTTGCACATAATTCTAAATGTTTTTAGCATAAGCATTTTTTTAATTATTATTAATCGTGTTTTGTTTGTGAAAGCATTAAAATACACTCTGCAAGTACTATGCCCATAGAGTTTCAAGCTAGAAACTCACTCCTAAGTAAATATGTATCAAAGCACCTTTTTCAGTGAGATATCTACAATCTTAAATGGTTAATAAAATTACCAACCGCTTTGACGTGTCTCAATCAACTTTCCATGAACTCACCGAAGCCCAAAGCAGAAGTTTTTATATGTCATTTTTTTTATACATATATATCTCATTTCAATGATTTGTTTACAGATCATTGAAATGAATGATTTGAATGATTGAATGATTTGTTTACAAGTCTGAACTGAGCAACCGAACTCAGCTTTCCAAAACTAAATGTGCATCGTTAAATTTAACAATTTTCCACATGGGGTTGGATTGAACAGATTGTCACAGAATAAATGAAATTATCACTTGAAAGCTGTATTTTCTACATTTGACAGGAATCCAAACTTGTTGGGTTGAAAGAGAAAGTACTTTGTCACAAAGTGCTAACATTCTGTTGTTAAAAGGGACGCATGATGAAAACATTTGAACATTTCTATACTTCATCTCTATTGTTTCTAAGAAAACAACCCAGGCACTTACAAGAAGTTTTTGGCAATAAGTTAATTCTTTTTGGCGTCAGGAAAATGAGCCGTTTCAAAAAAGCTGCCAATTGTTAAGCCACTCACCGTTACTTAGCAACCCCAACACATTGGGTGGGGGGGGGGGTTACCGCTGCATGAGCTATACAATGGCTGCTGGAAAGTTCAGAAACCACTGGCTGAATTCTTGTTGGCTGTAAAGAAGGCTCCACTTCTGCTTTTCAAAGCTGTATGGCTGTATAATTAAGCATTTGTTTGCAGCCATTTCCATGAGCAAATGTAAAGGTTGCGTTGGGGGAGGTGGGGGATCAGCAGCATTCAAAGTGACAGGAACTGAACTGATCAGACTAAAATCTCATGACTGAAGGATGATTTTGTGCAAAAAATTTAATAAACATGTTTTGTATAGACCATAAATCTATCCTAATCTGTTCAAGGAAGCATAATACATCACTTTCAAGCCTTTGATTTTGAGGATGAGTAGAACAAGTTTTTGAATCCTAATCTTTTCATAAGTAGGGAATGCTTTTAATTATCATCTGAATGGTGCCGCACCTGTCTGTTGGCCTGTGTTGATGTCTTTGGTTTGCCGCTGTCGTAGGAAAACACCGGCTGTCGTCGCGTCATCTGGAGGGCAACCAGGTCCTTCATTATAGAGTGGAGAGCCTGCCTCTCATCTGACGACAGCCCAGCAAAACGCACAAACAGAAATCAGAGCACAGGGTTCATGCACTTTACTCACATTAAAATTCAAGCACTTTTAAAGGGAAAGCAGCGCAGCACTGACAACTGAACTAAAAAAAATACAGTTTCAATTCACTTTTATACATAATTTATAAATGTTATTAATGATGTCTTAAGACATCATCCTTCATTCTACAGCAGAAACATTTGCATTTTATGTTTGGAAATGTTATTTTCTCACCATCAATATACCTGACTGGACAATGAACAAAAAACTAATTTAATTAGAAATTCCCCAATTTTAGTAACATTATTTAGTATAAAAAATATTTAATTACACAGATCACATAGGAATATCAAAAATTCACAACACAAACAATCCAAATACATCATGTTAAGGTTAACAATCTTTCTGCTCAAATTAAATGCTTAAAAACAATCTGTGAAAACTCCCCAAGTTTTCTGGAATTTGGAGAATTACTTTGGTAATTCAAACTGACCTAAAACATAAAAGGTTTAGTCTTATTTAACTCCAGGCAATGAGTTTTTTTTTTATATTTCTCTTGGGTATTTAAAACTATCTGGTTTCAAATGTAAAAGTTTTCCAAACTTAGGCTTTTAATCAAACATTAAATTCCACTTAACTAAAAATATACGCAGTTTTACACAGAAATGAAACATTTTCCAAACTTTAAAACATCTCACTGAAAATCAAGCACCCTCAAAGATTTCAAGAAACACTAGTAAAGTTGGATGTGCATTTTCTCATGAAATGCATGAAATGAACAACTTGTTATCTTTCTTAACTCATCATCCCATCCAAACTGCCTCTGACTGGGTTTTCTGAGAGACAGGGAAAGAGTGCGCTGTTTCTGATATGCATTTTTTCCCACGTTTGATCTCAGAAGAAACTCTGCCTTCGCTGTGCTCGCTCACGAAGAGAAAATATTCCCTTGTGTAGCTTGGAAAGACATCATACAGCCCCAGGGCAGCTGAGGGAACCGGACCCAGAACCCAATCCTTCACCTGAGAGTCTGGAGCTGCTGATTGCTCAAACCGGGGCTGGCGCTTTTTGTTGCAACTGTTTTTATCTTGTGCTGTTTCAAAGCTGTGCATTGAAATCCCTGTTTAACATCAGACTCACTCATTGCGGCAGCGTTGTGCAGGCGGGGTCCACAAACCGGGGTTCAGATTGATGCCTCTGATGAGCCAGACCACCCACAGCCTGCGGGGGAAATGCTTAGTTAGGTTAATATCGTAAGATGAGTCAGGCAGGACATAACGGCATGAAAAAAAGAAGCATAAAAAGTTAAAAGGGTGCAAATAATTACTAAACCACTGCTTTATTTACAACAACCAAAGAGATAATGAGGCCTTTATGATGACAAAAAGGCTTTGGATTTTGCAGGGATGAAACCCAAGACTCCAGAAACCAAAGCAAAACATTTTTGACTGAATGAAAGTCAAGAGTGAATGAAAATGTGTCCAGCGCATGCTAAAATATGCCCATGAGAAAGAACAGCAATTGGAAACGGCTGACATTCAAGCTGCACTGGCAGCGATCGCTCTGGCTCTGTTCCTATGAGAAGAATTCTTTATGAGCAGTTTTCTGCAATTTTAAAAAATCTAAACCAGGTTTGAGCAGCTCCGGTTGCACGAGCAGCAAAACCATCCCAAAGCCGTGTCATAAATCTACTGCTGAAGTTAACAGGGTAATACATTCAGCCCTGTTGACGGCACCAACAGCATCCTGTACTGAAATAAAACACACACCCTCTCTAAAAAATTTTTATTGACATTTCTGGTGCATATTGGGGTTTAAATTTGTTTAACCTCAGATGTGTAAAAGCCTACAGATTCCAAACTGCTGAATATAAGCACCCATTTCTATGAAACTAACATATATATGTGTGCTTGTATAATGACAAAAGAAGAAAGTCATCCTGCCTGTTAATCTGTCAACATTACGTGGCCATTTTCTTATAAACCTGAACTTTCGTTTGTATCAAGATGGCTGACTGTCTTGCCATAACATGTGCGGCTACGTCATTCATAATACATAGATTTTTTTAAGAGGACGTTATATTTTGACATTTTTGTCACCTGTGTTAAATACTGACTAAATAAAGACAAAACTATGATTTTCTCATATTTTTAAACTTAGACAGCCCTCAAAACCAACCGTGCTAATTGGCGTCAAGTCTTTTTCTATCACGTTACAATTTTCCTACACTATACTCAAGTTTTTGTGGCATTATTATATCCTCCCCTTCATAGCAAATCAGACATTTTTGAATGGGAAAAGCTGAAAGAGCAACATTACAGCTGGTCGAGTGATAACATGTCGAAACAGAACCTCCCAAAGTGCTTTCACATCCCAAGCAGGACTCCTTTAGCGTTTAGAAATATCGCCGCCATCTTTGTTTCCGCCTCAATTTCCCTGCTAATAAGGAAGACTAACAGCACCCTCTGCTGGACGGCGGCCAAACTACAACACCGAAAAAATGTGTAAGCGGATGTTATTAGTTAATCGATTGGAACTAATCTTACTCCAATTAACTACTGAAAGACATTTAACTGTAAGTCGATTGGTTGTGTCCCAAAGAAAGATATTTTCAGTCTTTGCTCCATGTTTTCCAATTAGGAGATCTGGAGATCTTCCAAGGAAGGGAACACAGTAAATTCTGCAGAGTTAAATCAAAACTATGCCGAGTGTATTTGGTCCTTTTCAGAATTGGTGTTAATTTAACTCTGTTCAGAGTTATTTCAACGAGAAACTTAGTAGTTTTAACACCTGAAAAGGTTGAAATAATTGTGAAAAGAGTTCAATCAACACCAATTCTGATAAGGACCAAATAGACTCGACATAGTGTTGATTTAATTCATCCTGAGATTGGACTGTGCAACCCTCAGAGAAATTCCCCAAACCCAGGACCTCCATCTCAGTAGTGCAGACCTCAGTTAGCATGTTAAATGTCAAAGTTCATGATAGCACTGCTTGAAAAATGAAGTAGATGGCTTGTTTTGAAATGGTTGCCAGGAGAAAGCCTCTTCTCTCTAAAAAGAATGTGGGGGAACAATTCAGGCTTGCAAAGTTGCATCTACATGAGCCAAAACATTTTGGATACATTAGCCAAAAGTAGAGATGCTTGGCTGTACAACACAGGGCCATGTTTGGATAAAATCAAACATAACAAATCATCACAAACACCTGGCAACCGCATTGATGGAAGGACGACTGTTTGGGCTTGTTTTGTAGCCACATGAGCCGGGCACTGTGCAGTCACTGAACGCATCACGGACTCCTCCGTAAACCAAAGTACCCTCAAGCTAAATGTGAGAACATCTGTCCGACAAAACCGGATCATCAAAAAGACCAAACAGGCAAACCACAAAACTGAAGTACATCAAGTGAAAATAACCTTGAGTTACTGATTCAGTACAATGCAGAAACAAACCCCCAAAAAAGTCAAAAGTATTTCAGCTAAAACATTGATGACTAGGGATGCAAACAAATAATGAGCTTACAATTAATTATCAATTAATTGTTTATTACATTAAAAGTAGTTCCATTTTATAAATTAAGACTGTTGTTTGGCCTCCATCCAGAAGGGGGCAACACTGGCCATTCTTAACTGGAGCTGTAAAATGCACTTTACAGTTTTGAAATATAAACTCTTCACAGAAAGTGAAAGTAAACATTTTCAGGCTCAAAAAGTCATTTTTTTTACTTTATAAGCTCAGAAAATATCCAACTTTATTCTATAAAATAATTTTAAATTAATCTCAAATTTTGAGGTTTTTTCCTCAATTTTTTTAAATTTTTTTTTATGAGTTTATGAGTTTTTGGACAGAAATGTACTCCCCCTATCCTCAATAGTTTCACTGCACTACTGTAGTTTATATATTTTATTATTTTCATACTTCATTTTACTATTCAGCACTTTTAGCTTAATAGTGAGAAAAAATATATTTATTTCATACACTGAAAATTTTAAAACCGTGTTAGATGCTCTGACATTTTGATACAAGAGAAAATTCAGGTTTTTCAGAAATGTATGAATTAATCCCAAATCAATCAGTAGGATGAATCAACTTCAGATTGACTCATTATTGATACCTTGCAGCCACTCTAGCGACGAAGTAACAAATGCTCTGTATCCAAAGTTAGTGGCACCAGCACCTGAGGCACCTTAGTGAAGTCGCCGGGTTCCAGGGTAATAATCACCCACAGGAATGCCGGGTATGTCCGACAGCGGCTGGCAGAGCGTGACCGCGCTGCTTTAAAGTTTCCGCTGCTCTCATATCTGCCAAAGGAGCGGGCGGCGAAATCTTTTCAACTCTTCCAATTTGGTATTTTATGCATTATGAAAGGCCATGAACTTTACGAAGTGTGAGATTCTCACAGTTTTATCCGTGTCGTGTAACTTGAGGTAACATAGAGCCATTGTCTCTTTCCTTGGCTACAGACATCAGTGAGACTGCTTCATCTTTAAAGAAAACTCCTTTGTTGTAGTTATACAAAGCCGAGCCTCTTTGTCAAGAGCTGCCCCTCTTTTCACCCCAGTTTGAACCGATTTTAATGACCCCCCAATGTGGAATGCCGGGAATTCAATTGAGAACAAGGCTGCTTGAGTCAGCTGTGTCTGCTTTTTGTTCCTTGTATCGCATTTCCAGGACTAGGAGGATTTACATGGATTTTCCTCTGACCTCTCTCCTCTGTCTGCTTTTGAGAAATGTTTAGTCTGAGGCTGTTTTTCCCCTCCCGGTCTCGGACCGGAGATGCGTCTGGCCTCATGGCTTCTCAGCGAAACCCCTTGGTCTCCTCAGGTCATATTTCAGGTGCACATGTGCTTTGGTTTAGAAGACAAAACATTTTTAAATATTCACAAGTCAACCTGGATCAAGTGTTGGCTTTGGCAACATCATTGACTCCCATTGCTAAATGGCCAATTGAAAAGCAAAACAATGTTGATCTATGAAGAGCACCAGTCGGCAACTTACTGTGAAGGAAGTCCAAGGAACATATCAGAAATTTCATGGGTAAAGTTGAGATATTTAAAGGACTGTTATGTCAGAAAGACATAAGACTATCTCAAATTCAAGACTTTTAAGATCAACAATCAAAGGAATTTAAGACCTATTATCACCACAGAAATAAATAACTTTTGTCCAGTCAAATAGAGATAAATTTAAACTTAAATAGAAACTGGTCAGAGTTAAAGAGAAGGCAGAATAAACTAAATAAAAACATGTTTAAGACTAAATCTCCATTCCTCAAGTGGGAACTGTCCTGCGTCTTTTGGATGATTACCTCCTCAACACACCTGAATCAAAAGATTCATTTATCTCCCTGACATTTCATTACGTTTTGCAACAGTCTGGTCAGTAACAATGATTTAATTCAGGTGCGTTTGAGCAAGAATGAATCAAATAGATGTGAGGTCTTGGCACTCAGGGACAGGTGTTGCAAGTCATGACTATATGCTATGAGACAGAAAATCTGTGAAAAGATTCATTTCCTCTGCCTCCTTCCTGAGCTACTATTGCAGGCTGAAGAAATGCCGACCAAAAACAACCTATCAGAGCCAGGAGGAGGGCCTTAGCGCTGCCAATCACTTTGTGTACTTGCTGCTTACTGTTACAGAAAAACTTTATTCATGCCATCACAATATCATGACTTAAAATATATGTACAAATAAATATCTTTTAAGAAAAGTTACATGGTGCTGGTGCAACTTCCAAGACTATTGTACCATTTAGAATTTAAAATGAATTAACTGCTAAATAAATAATACATTATTTGATTATTTGTTGTGTAAACATGTGGTTTAGTTTACCCAAAAAAGGTGCGAACGTAAGTGCACCACATATTTCTTTTGTCAACTAGATCACGTGAACGCCTCACCTGGAGCCTCAGGTAACCCGTCCCGCTCGGAACCGATCCGGTCACCGGTGTCTCGGGCCGGATGCGTGGACGTCCATCAGACCGGGGGAAGGCGTGAGCGTGAAGGCGGCATGGAGGGGCAGGATGCCCCCTAAATAAAGGGGGCACGCCTTCTTTCACCGAAGATGAACGACAAAAACACACTAAGAGTTTTTTATGGAGGTATTCTGAAGAAAATCTGAGCTCAAAAGGCGATGATCCTATATGGAGAAGCCAACATCTAAGTGCTGCGGCCGAGGCCGCTGCAGCCTCGGATCTTTGGAAAACTTAAATTTCCAAAACATGATCCAGTCACTTTAACTCCTCAATTTTTCAGGCTTTTTTTTAAATATATATAACAAAAACTAGCAGACTATGTGTAGCAGTTTCAGCATGTATTAAATCCATTTGAGAGCCATAGCCTGCTTTCCTGCTAAATCTGTAGATTGCCCTTTCTGTTCAATGTACAACGGGCTGCAGTCTTTTCGGGGCCTGTTGTAGGAAATGCACGAATGAAGCAACGTCTTATAGGAATTACTTAACAACAACAACCGTTACTCTGTAACGCGACCTTGCTGTGCGTTAGCGACTCCAAAGTGGCTTTAATCACCAAAAACAAAAACTTCACTAACTTTGAAAGTGAGAATGTCTAACAAGTCCTAGTTAAATCAGGCGGTGGGATAGTACGGATTTCCCGGGGTTTGTGGAGGTAGAGTTAGCTAAACCGCAGCTTTTCCACAACCAAAACAAACCAAAGAAACGTTCCTCAACCGAAGACGTCAAACTTCCTGACAGCACAAAACATCTCCGCCGGAACCCGCTACTACTCCTCCAACAAGTCACGGGCGCCGTTCATCCGAGCTGGCGTCCATTGTCAACCCAAAAGGTTCGACTCTCGGTCGATCACACGTTTAAAAATGTTTCTGAGTTGTTCCCGGAGGAATTCCTGAGTGACAAACTATCCAAATTAGCGCCGTCAAGATGCGGGGACGCGCTGTTACTCGGTAGATAGCTTCACGCGGGCACGCGCATATCATTGGCGGGGCGGAGACGTTCGGTGACGTACCTGCGTGAGGCGTTCAAGAGTAACGGAAAATTGAGATTGATCGAAAGTTGAAATTTTTTTTTACTGTGAATATTCAGATGAAACCAGATATTTAGACACTAAAAATAAAAAGACACACTTGCGTACGTATTTTAGAGCCAAACCTCACTTTCTTCTTGTTTGACACCATTCAAAAGAAATAAAAAAAATTAACTGTGGACATGTAAAAGTTTAGTCATTGGTCAAAAGTTACAATGAAGTTACAATAAAGAAGTAATTTATTACAGAAGAGTTTCTGGGTTATTGACATTTTTTATTTGACTGTTTTCTCAGAATTTTGAATTTAATCACATATTTCTGACTTTTGACCTCAGAAAAGTCAGAATTCTGTTAAAAATGTCAAAATTAGGAAAAAAACAACAACAAAAAAACAGCATTCCGAGAAAACGAGAAAAAGTTAGACAAAAATCAGAATTTCTTTCTCGACCTAATTTTCTTCCATACATTTTTGTCCTCAGTCCAGCCAAATAAAACAGGCTTATTGCCACATATAATCAATGACCTTTGAAAAAAGATAACTAATAGTTTTTCATAAATATCTACTGTAGAAAATTTGTTGTCAATTAAAAAATACAAGAGCAATTTTATTGGTTTCATACAGGTTTTAGAACATAGAAAAAGATTTTGCTGTTTGTTATTTATATGAATCATTGTCATTTTGGTCTCTACAATACCAACATTTCTATCTAACTGTAAATCAGTTGTAAATATTAGTTGTTTTTAGTTTCAGTATTTGAGTAGCCTTTTTACCAAATATGTTTTACTTTGACCTGAGTTGAAGTACCATTTTTAGATACTTTTCTGAGACATTTATTTCTTGTGTTATATCAAACATTACAAGCTTTTGTTTCAATAAGTTATTCAAACTGAAGAAATTATCATTGTGCATATCTGTACCAAATTTTCACAATTTTCATGTAAAATCCAATAATATACAGGCATAACTAAATGTACTAAAATCATTTTTTATCCACACCATTTGTTAAATCTAGGAAAAAACAAAGATAGCAAAGGATGGTGATCAGCAGAAGAAGGATGGTCACTTTTCCACTTTCATAACTTCTTTTTAAAGACAAAAATGCTAAGAAATTTGATGGATAATAAAACTACAATGAAAAACACATTAGAAACCGAGGTTTAAAAAAAGCCCCAGACTGAAACAAAGTTTATTTTTATGCAAAAAACAGATAGGACTCTTTACGTTATGATTAATAAAATAAGTTTTGCATCCCATAAAACATTTATTTTTGAAGGTTGGAAATGTTGAGAAAAAATAGGGTTGAAAATAAGAGTAGAGAATAAAGTGTGCATTATAAAAAAAATATAAATATTAACACTGCAAACAGCATAAATGTTTTTTTTTGTTTGCATTTTTCTAAACACAAACACCTTAAAGCTTTTAAATACAAATTAGACTCAAGCCAACATGATTTAAATCAACACCAGCATTTATTTTTTTTCCAAAAGCATGTAAAAAAAGAAAAAATTGATTGTGTATAATGATGGAAAGGAAAGAGATGCTTACATTTGAAACAAGTATTAAAGGAATACGGGGGGAAAGACTGCAAGCAGTCCAAACCTCTTCTTTTTCAATTTATTTTTGCTGTAAGGCCATCTCAACCCTCAGGTCAAGTCTGGAAAACGATACACCTTCAGAGATGCGTACATTATTATCGTCTCGGTGACAACAGCAATAGAAACAACATGTATGTCCAGCACAAAAAGGAGCAGACTCACGTCATGTCACACTGCAATCATTCACCTGAGCCTCTGGGCTCCAGAGTAAACCAGTTTACCTTTTCTGCTTTACTCAACTGTGCAGGTGTAAAGGTGTGCAGTTCACAGATTCTGCTGTTGTACCTTGGCAAACTGCAGAGGATGACATAAACAGCATTTCAAAAAACAAGCCACTTGATTTTAAAGCGTTGAAAATGTAGAAACCGCAAGAAGAAAAACGTTTGTGGAAAATGTGGATAAAAATGATGGCTGCTGGTTTGGTGAAGGGATCTTATTTCATTTTGGGTCAAATCAAGGTAAGAGTGCTCTTAAAGGCCCGGGTGTCCCAGAATTTATTGATAAAACCAGTTAAAATATTAATTAATTCTTAAAATTAAACAATATTGAACATGTTTTCAGTCCCTCCAGGATTTCACATTTAATTTTTAACCAAAGATTATTAATAATGATACTTATTTGTGATGATAAATGTGATTTTTTATTTCTATAATCTGACATCAGTTCAGGCTGAGGCAGCTGTTTAGTCCAAGTAAGAAAGAGAGCACCATTGAAACCCAAATCTTTTTGTGAAAAATTTTCAATAAACTCATAATTATGTGTTAGCGTGAAAAAGTGCATGGATTTGTTCATTTTGAGTGAATTTCCACAATAATTTGCAAGACACTGGAGGGACTGATTGACGTAATCTGGCAGAAAATAGATAAAAACAGATTTGATTTAATTGATAAAACAATGTTTAAGAACATTGTTCTCTTGACTGTTGGCATCAAACGGCCACAAAAGGTGATGGTGGACCAGAGTTGGCCCCCGGGCCTCGAGTTTGACACATGCTCGAAACAAAAAAACATTAAAAAACCCCAGAAACATTGACTTCTTATGGGAATCTTGTTTAAACACAATCAGGTCAACTGCTTATTTCTAAGGCTTGGCTCTCTTTCTCTTTTCCGCACAGCATGCTCAGTTTCACAGTAAACTTTCAGTCAAAAAACGTACTTTGTGTCATTCAAGTCAGCAATATTCACACAATTTAGGAAATTAGATATTTAATTGGCGGAATATAAAGATGGAGACATCGATTAACTAGATTCTCTTGGGAGTTTTGATTAAAAAGCACAGCAGACCGAGGCAACGTTTTGAAAAAGGCTGTTAGGTTCTTAGGCAAATTATTAGCAGGGCCCTCGTTCACTGACACGCATTCTCCAGCAGAGGGAGGTCTGCAATGGGGTTTGCAAGCATGAACGCTGCAAAACGAGCATTTTGAGAATAGGTCCACTTGCGTAACAGAAAGTATGAAGAGAAAGGCAATAATACAAAAGTGAATCTTATCCACCTTTTTGGGGGGGATGGAAATGATGACTATCCAGTGGTATGAATGCCACACAATTTCTCCAAGATGCTTCATCTCTTACCCAAAAAGGTTTCATCCACATCTTTATGAATCAAAAACATCGAGTAGACTAATTCTTTAAGAATTTCGATTAACAATCACAATCTTCACAAGACTTATCAATGACTAACATGCCTCAAACAACAGAGGAGCAACATTTTCTTGTCTGTTTTCACATGTAAGCAGACAAGGCCTCAGTTTCCGTCGTGATTTTCTACATCATGTTTGGTAATTGTGTTTGCTTGTGCAAAGTGAGAGTACAGCAAGATAGAGGAGAAGGGAAACGGTCGACAATCACAAACCACGGCTCTATGTACAGATAGCATACAAAACACAGGTTTCAGAAATTATTGGATATTCTGACAATAAAAGTAGAGAAACAGGCTGCTACACTGCAAAAACACAAAAGCTTAAGTAATTCTGGACGAGTTTCTAGCTCAAATATCTTTGTAAACTGGAAATAAGACAAAACTAAGTTACTTTTCACCAAGATATGGGAGCTTATTTTAAGTCAGTAATTCCTTAATATTAATTTAAAAAGCACTAGTTCTACTGCTAGATTATTTAAATTATAACAAAACATTTTCCTCATATTATAAAAGAAATAATCTGCCAATTAGCTAGTTGCTAATGGAAACTGGCCCTTTTTCATCAATGTTAAGGAAGTAGTAACTTAAAACAAGCTCCTTCGTGCTGCTGAAAAGTTGTTTGTAACTTAGCTCTGTCTTACTTCAAGCACTAGTAACTCGACCAAAATTACTTAGTAATATTTTGTGTTTTTGCAGTGTATGCAGTGATGAAACAAAACCGTTCACAACACAAGACGTAATTACAGTTGAAAGGTAAGGCTAATAAGACCCAGTCATACTAACATGCAAGGATAAGACTGGGACTGGGAATTCAAAACCAGGAAGTGGATTAATTGAATATTAATAAGAAAAAGCAAAACATGAGGTGAGCTGTTGCTGATGTATGCGGTTGTTATACAGTACCCTGTTTGTTCCTGAATAAACCTGTAACAGCGTACCACAGCGAGGGATTGTTTGAATCTATGCATCGATCTTGATTATTGGGTAAAAACTGACCTGAGTGCATGCTCTGTTTGAAACATTGTTGCTCTGAAACTCTTCTGAAATGCCTGAGGATGTGGTAGAAAACAAAACAAAACAAAAAAATGGTGCAAATTATTATTATTACTACCATTTCTTTTTATTTTGAGTAGAAAAAGAAACGGTTTTGATGCGCTCCCGTTTTACACTGCAAAAACACAAAAGCTTAACCAAGTAATTTTGGGTGAGCTTCTAGCGCAAATATCTTAGTAAACTTGAAATAAGACAAAATTAACTTAACAATTTAAGAAATAAGAGCTTGTTTTCAAAAAATACTGATTAAAAAGTACACAGTCCACTGGCAGTTTATTTCACTTATAACAAGAAACTTTTCCCATTGTTTAAGTGGAATAATCTGCCAATGGAACTAGTATTTTTCATGAATATTAAGGAGTTATTAGCTATTATTTCTTTCTGAAAAAATATTTGTAAGTTTATTGTCGATATTTCATGTGAATTAAGATATTTGCAATACAAACTAGACCAAAAACACTTGGCAAGATTTTGTTTATTTTAGTGCAGGGAAGAAATTTGGTCACAATCAACTATCAATTCCACAGGAAAGAGAAAAATAAAGGTCTAAAATGATAGTTGATTAAAATCTCCAGACGTTTTGATGCTATGGGTCATTTATAAGTAGTTTGTGCATGTTTCTGTTCAGATGGCGTTTTTTAAAAAAGCGCGTGGTGGAATTAACTGCGCCCCAGCATAACGAGGCATGTGTTCATCGCAAAACATGCTGGAGGTGTTCAAAAGGACAAAAAAAACAATAAAAGGCAGGTGTGATCATGGCGACTTTGTGATGTTATCTGACTCCTTGGAAGCCCAGAGCTCTTTGTGCTGCTTGCGTCCGAAACCTTCGTCATAGTTGCCTTTGCTTTTGAAAAGCTGCTGGAAGTGGGGCTTGCAGTAAAACTCGCCCTGAAGAGCTGCGAAGGAGCCGAGGCTGCGGAGGAGGAGGAGAAGGGACGGGATCGCAGAGTTACAAAGGAAGCTGAAGGAAGGAATCATATAACTGAAGAAAACAAAGAAACACATCATTCACCTCAGCTTGGCTTTGCAGTGCTTGCAGCAGAAGCATGCTGAATGGAAAACCAGGTTGTTGGCAACCAATCTCTCCATTGGGTAGACTGTCTTCTCACATGTTGCACACACTTCCTTTTGGGTCTTAAAGCTGAAAGACTGAACACATTAATATATAATTTACTGGGAGCGACATGCAGTGCAGTAAAAAAGTATAAATACTTCAGGGTTTCTCTCAGTGTATCAGAAGCCTGGCGGGCCACCAGGCTGAGAAATGTCTGTTTGTTTCTAACAGCTTTTTTATACACGCAGTCACAACAGTGACAGGAAAGACGCGATGAAGAGTCTCTTGGTAAAATGTTTGGAAGCACAATGAAAGCAAATGAGCTTTGGGCTGAAACAATTAATCAAATTAATTGTGATTAATCGATTTAATGAAATAGTTCCTTGAAAGAGGAATGACTCATATGTCTGGTTAGAATCTGCTCGAATCTGAAATGATTCAACTATTAAATTTAGAGCAAACATTTCCAGAAAAACCTTTTTCTGTAAATGTGTTCTAAACAGAATTCCTCAAGAGTTTTAGTTTCACTTGGTTCATGTTCATCTGGTAAAAAAATAACCTAGTTAGCATCTTTTTCTATTCAGTTACTAATAAAAAATTTATAATTTTATGTATTGACATAACCTTTTTCAGCTGCAGATGCATCCCTTGCTAAAAATAATCAACTGTACACAAAATAAATGCTAATTTATTTAATTTTAGGATAGAAAATGTTTCCTTTTTTAAAAAAAATTTGAACTGAATTATTTAATTGCAATTCTTGATGTATTTCTAATATTGTATAAAATAAGCTTAAGTGGTGAAATGAAATGCTTTGTTTTTTTACCCAATTAATTGATTAATAGTCAGAATGATTAATTACTAAAATTGTTAAATGTGCTATATAAATAAATTCATGTTGACTTTTCTGGCCGGATTTGTCAGTTTCGGTGGGTTTAGCGTTTTATCTCCACGTTCATGTGATGAACCTGGAATATGTTACAACCCAGAAAAACAAAAGAAGCAGAGAGCAGTGAAGGCATCACCGGCTGGTTACCTTTGATCGCTGGACAGATTTATCTTCAGAGTTGTTTCTGGTGTCCTAAGAAAAATAAGAAAAAAACCATGTTTGTTATTTCAGCTAATATTCAGATCTTCAATGTATGTACCTGTTATAAATGACAGAAGATTATTTGATTAATATTCTACAGGGCAGTTTTTCTACCTTTATCAGTGTGTTTGTGTCAGGAGTCTGATCTGTTTCTCTCCCCCCAGTTTGCATTTGCTCCATCTGTCTTTCTGCACCCAGGGGGGAGGATCAGGTGCCTCCTGTCTGAACTGAGGCAGAGTCCTGCAAAATCAGCTTTTCTCATCTCATTAGGAGATTTATGAGCTTAATGTAGGGCTCCACGATTCAGGTTGAAAACAAAATGTCAGATTTTTAAAATTCCTGATTCAATGTTCATAGATTTTTAAAATCACTTTCTTTTCTAAATTGTGTTTCTAAAGAAATGACCAGAGTTTGGTGGTATCTTGTCACATTTAATTCAGGAATTTTTTTCTAAAAATGTACTTTTATTAGTATTTTTACTATGCTGTTCTTTTTAATTTTTACTTCAGTAATTTTATTTTGAAGTATTTCTACTCTTACTTGAGTAAATTTTCTGGATTTTCTCCCTATTGAATGAAAAACAAACATGTTTTAACCAAAAAAATTACCAGAGAGAGACATACAACTAACTGCAGTTATTGTTATAGTTTCATCAGTTTTTTATTGAAAAATAAAACTGATTTGGAAAAATATTTTTTGCTATATATGTGAATATTAAATTTGATCCTTAAAATATCTAAATTTTCACTTAACTTTAGATTTTGGTCCAATTTTAAATATTAAATGATTGATAAGTTACTCGGTAATTCAGTAAACTTTTTACTAGATATTTATTTTACTCTTACTTGAGTAATTTCTTGGATGCTATTTGTTACTTTTACTTGAGTAAAATTATGATGAAGCAGAGCTACTCTTACTTTTTGGGTTCTCACCACCTCTTGAAATTACAAATGACAGGAAATATTTTTAAAAAGTCTCTTATTTTAATAATCTCCTCTGTGAATCATGATGGAGTATCAGGGTCGGGATAGAATAATTTTTGTTTAATCTATAAAAATATAGCAATAATATAAGGAAAAAAGATGCATTTTTACCAGAAAGACACATTAAAATTAAGAAAAAAAAAAAGTTGTTTTGATGGGGAAAAAAACCATCAAAAAAGAAGAAATACTTAGTCGTTGCTCAATTGTTTCAAAGGAAGAAGGGGAAAGTCCACTGGAAACCTTTCTAAAAGCTTCTTATGTAAGTTTGGCTGGAGATCAATGTGTAAAAATGGGAGTTGGAGGCTAGTAACAGATGCACATGGTAAGAGCTGCAGCACAATTTTATAGACTGATATTTGCATAATTAATGGAGCCAATGTTCGTCAACATGCTAGTGGTAAACTAGCATATAAAACTGGAAGTGCCAACATGCTAGTGACAGCCACCATCTAAATGGTAATGTCTAATTTTTATCTAATTTATTAGCTCACTTAATGCAGTAAATCAATTAAATGAACAAGCTAGTGCTATTTCACATCCAAATGGTAGTGTCAACATGCCAGTCATTCAGCATGCTAGTGATAACCCCTTATAGTTAAACTTAGAATTTTATCAATTTTTTTAATTATTAACTATGTTTAGCATACTTAATGCTAAGTCAATATGCTAGTGATAACTCACATTCTATTGACAGTATTTAAGCTAGCCTTGGCATTTCAGCTAATTTCAGCTCATACATTGTTTGCATACTGAGTTGATCACTGGTAGCCAGTACGCTAGTTAATTAATTAATTATTCATTGCTTGATCATTAATAGCAAAGATCGCATCTACAGCAACAAAAATACTAATCTGTTGATTTTTTTAAATCAATATATGGAGAACAAAAGGTAGTTAGAAGATTTAATGAACCAGATAAAGCTAAAAATAGCACCTTAACATATTTACTACAAAATGTTTTTCATTTTAAAGGCTTTTTTTTTTTTTTGTAGAGTTTTAGCTTAATTAATGCTCTATGTTTTGTTTTGTTTTTTTTGGCAAAAGCTAGCAATTAATCAATTACTAAATTAGTTGACCACTGTTTCAATAATTGATTTATTCACGATTAATCGTTTGAGTATAACTAACCAGACACATCAGTCATTCCTGTTTAAAAAAAAAAAGACTGGAAACATTTTAGCATCATATTTTGCACCAGTCTCAGCTGTTGTTCTAACTCAACAATGTGCATGACATTTTGAAATAACTTTATTGATGAACAGGCAGGAAAGCAAAGGGTGTTGCCTGCACTCAGGGCAACCGGACAACATGTTTTTGTAGCGATTAGTTAATTAACAGTGAAGCCATGCATCTTCCTGTAGATGCAATCGCATCCCAACAGTCAAGCATCATCCTTGGTTCCTCTTGAGAGCAGTCATTATGTTGCTGCTCGCTTTCAGACAGCTTATGCTTTCTGATTACCAAGCACACTGCATGCTACACCACTTCCTGTGGTTCTTGAACACATGCTGAACCAAAAAGACTTTGATCTCCTCCAGACACTGTTGAAAATTTAGCTTCAATTTAAAGTTTTTGCAGGAAAGGTATAGCTTCTTCACAAGAGAGCTGCAGTAAAACCTTGTAATTGCAGCCATAAAAGGAAAATCGACTTTTATTGTTCACATACATTGAACAAGTCTTTAGATTTGCATGTGCCAGCTTGGTCTGTCTTTGCCATATATGTACATAAGCCTCAGTTTCCCCAAACTGCTCAAACGTGGCAGGAAGTTGTTACGACACATCTGTTTCTCCTGTCCTGTAGACAACGAGAAAAGTAACCCAGTTTCATTTTTATTCTCACTGTCTGCTGACAATTACTTCCCAAGTTTCACCGCAAAAAAGGTTGAAGAAAGCTAACGGTTCGCACAATACCAATCAATGTGGCCTCAGTAACTTAAGGGGAAACGAACAACCTCTGTGAGCAAAACACAAAGTGTTCATAAAGAGGTTTTATAGTGGAACTAATCCTCTCTGAACCGGCACTGTTTTAGCTGTGTGTGAGAAACTTCACCCAGCTGGACTGTGGTTATCTTACCAAACAAGGAGCACTTTCAGCTCAAATCGTCTTGCAAAAGAGCTTCAACTCTTAGCTCACTGGGTCAGTTCCTCTCTCTGAGCCTCTGCTTGGGTTGTAATCTCACCTCCACATGCCAACCTGCGTGTGTTTGTGTGAAACACACCCCGGGGCCGAGGGGATTGATTACAACTGGTTCCTCTGTTCTCTTTAATGAAGCTTCTTGGTATCTGCTTTGAGATTTATGTTCAACATTTAGGGGGCCGCTTAATCTCACTTCTTAGTTCCTTCTGTGGATTAAACAAACTGGACATGACTGAGAGTGTTTCCCCAACTTTAAAGAAACCAGAAACTGTGAAAATGTGCAAAAGTTATTTCACTCCAACTCAAGAAAGTAGATGTGAAACACTGCAAAAACAAAATTTAAAAAAAAGTATTTTTGGTCTAATTACTAGTGCAAATATGTATGTAACTTTTCATAGATATAGAGATAGAGAGACTTGTTTATAGTAAAAATTTCTTAATATTGATGAAAAAGTTATTGTTCTAATTATATAAGTTGATTTATTGGCCAATAGATCAAGCACTTTTTTATTTTATTTACTTTAAACAAACCTCTGTATCGTGCTGAAAAGTTACTTGTAACTTAGTTTGTCTTATTTCAAGTGTAATAAGATATTTGCACTAGAAACTAAACCAAAATTACTTGGTTAGATTTTGTCGTTTTGCAGCGAATATATTGGCAATTTTAGTAGGAGGTGCAAAAACCTCTAACGTACAGTCTGTGGTTCTTGTTCTGCAGTAGCATGGTTCCACCCTTTAGTTAATTTTACTGCATTTAAATAGCTTATTTAAGTTAAATAAGGCCACAAACATTGAACTTTGTGGACTTCAAAATTAAATATTTATCCATGCTTCACAAGGGAAAGAATATGGCAGGACACAGAGGCCATTTCTCTTCAAAATGGACACATATCCTGCAAAAGAATTGCAAATCTCATTTGTTGCAATTCAGAATCATTATGAAATGTCCCAAAATCGGTTTAAATACATAAAACAAATTTCCTGGTTTTTGGTCTCCATTTTGTAACAATGTAGGACGTCCTGTCGCCGCCAAGCAGCCAGTACTGGCACATACTGATGCACCAAAACACAAAGGAAATGGAAAGAGAAAGAGCGAATCAACCCGTCTCATCTTTGTTGAAGGCAAAACATTTGGACTCATTTTGTTTTTTATTGAATGCCCAGGAAGTCCAAGCTTGACATGAGCTGTGCAAAGTTTGCAAAATAAAGATTAGGAACTTCAGGAATATCGCAAATGTGAGTAACGAAGCTACAGTGAAGCCAAGGTATGACATGCCCTCCTGTACGTTTTTTTTACTGAAAAATAACCAAGGTATTTCTGCACTTGATAGTTCAGTAGACTCAGTTAAGCTGAGGACTAAAGTTGCAACATTTGTTACATTTTCAGTTGCTGCAGTTCACTTTCACACTGCACTGAGTCAAACAAACCAAACCCCTAGAAAAACATGTTCCCCTCCTCGCCAGTGGGGGCGCCTCGCCAAGAACCACTGAAAGAAACGACACAAAACCTTCAGAAGACAAGAGCGCAACTTCATTCTTACAAACTGTAGACAAAAACGGAGTAGCGTCAGAGTTCTCATTGGTAAAAAAACACAAGCCATTTCCAATGCTAGCGCTAGTTTCTTGAGTTTGTTTTCTTTGTATTTACCCAGAATTCCCTGCGCTTTACTCCGCTTCACCGGTCCGCTTGGCGTCCACAAATGCATTCATACTGTGCCACAGGTCACTTCAACTGAATTGAGATTGAGGTTTGTAGGTGGACCAAAGTTCGCCTTTTTGGTCCAGTTCAAGTTAAAACGGACTAATCAAAGCTGGTGTGAATGCACCCTAAATGCTAAATGAACTGTACAAATGCTAACAGGTATAAATCTT